AAGAGTGCGATTCTCTCCGAGTACAGCATGCATTGGGTAGTCGATAACCGCGTTTCAAATTCAATGCCCGCAGGTATCAGACCTGAGCCCTCAATGGATTCCTCTCTGGAATCCCGCAGGAGATCACCCCCATCTATTGTTGATAGGGGGTGGCGATTGTCCAATGTTCTCGTTTCATATCCCACCTACCACTGCGTTCAACAGTCTACGACATTTTCATTCAGAATATTCCTGAAAAAAATTGAATGTGGAAGAGTGAATTCTATGGGTGCCTCTCTAAATCTGCTCCGATATATTATTGACATATTTATCTAAATGTGAAACAGAAACAATACTGCTAGAAAAACACGGAAGTTTCCTGCACAGTTAACTAACAATTTTTAGGAGCGTGACATTTCATTCGATATAGTGGGGAAAAAAATAAAATATCAGGTTTCAGTGAAAATCCAATAAATTTGCAAATTCACGTGAATTTTCAATGCAATTGTGAATATTGAGTGTCAATTTACAGTAAATTTCCAATTACTTGAAAATTCAAAAATATATTGAGCTGAATTTTCTCGATTTCTTTCAATTCTCATAAAATAATGCAGCTGAAACTGAAAGTTTAAATTGATTGTTCCATAAGATGGTGAATTTTTAATTATGAATTTCTTTGCAATTTCAGTAGAACTATAAAAATTTCCAACTGTCAAAGGAGACTGGTTGAAACTTGACAAATAAAAGGTTACGTGGTTAGGAATAAAGTTCTGCATCGTCAACTTCTGTGACCTTTTTGACCAGTTAGTTGATTGTTGTGTTATAAATATTCCCGATAAGGCAACATCTCAACGTCACTCTCAGAATATATACGGGGCTTTGGTCTAGTCTCACGGGTGAAATTTGTATTTCGCTCTCGTATAAAAGCCGCTGTTGCACGTCGACAAGTAGCGTACAGAGGTGGAAAGCGAAAGACTGAACTGAGGTGACAGGAGGAGCATGAGGGAGGGATTTTCCAAAGTTTCGGTCGGTGCGCCGAAAGCTGCACTTTTACCGTGTTACAATAAAACACAAGCTGATCTCACTACCCCAGCTACGGACTGGTTCGATAGTTTCAAGTTCTTGGAGTCGAAGGTCCAGTCAAATGCCATCAGCACCGGGTATTCTCTCCTTTCCAGGGATTCATTCATCAGGTGCTTGTTGTGTTTTCCGTACAACAACAACTGTATCCAAAACAAGTCTTGGGTTAACAACGTTACCCGTCGTCGGGTCTATCATAACTCTGTCGAACATCGAGTCCATTGAAAAACAAATATCACTTAAAAATCAGTAGCGAAGTGGTCAAACGGTTTAAGTCAATTTAGTCTTTAGTTGAGTTTTCCAGAAACATTTCCGAATCTAAGGGAGATAGCGAAATTTTCATAATGACCTTTTTTGTAGAGCGAATTGAATGCTACTAAAAAGGTTATGAGAAAAATTTTGCTATCTCCCTTAGATTTCGAGATAATCATTGAAAACTGGCCAATAGTCAAAATCGACTTAAACCGTTTGACCACTTCGCTACTGAAATGGTAAACCCTACTCTAAAAATGGAAAACGCCGTTGTCCCTTCAAGTACAGGGTAAAATGAGTTGGGTAATCTATTAAATTATGTATTAATTGGTAAAGATGGTGTTGGTGGAGTGATGGTTTAGGTACTGAGACAGACCCGACGATGGACAGAGGTGTGAACCAGAGACTTGTTTTGGACACAGTTACTGTTGTACCGTTTCAAGTTCTCGCAGTCGAAGGCCCAGTCAAAGGCCGTCATCACTGAGTGCTCTCTCATCCCCATCAGGGATTCACTCATCAAGTATTTGCTTTGTTTTCCACCTCATCCACTGTGTGCCAGACATCAACCTAACTCGTATAAAATTATTCACGAGTCCGGGCTTGTCCAGCTGTCGGATATATCACTCACATTGTTTCTGTGTTGTGTGCGAAGGTGAGAAAGTTTTCCACTGTCAATTTGGGGGGATAGTGTGCATGCATAACAGCTTAGTTATTTTTTTAGTTCCTGCACTGTAGTTGTAATCGCAACTTTTGAATTGTTTGGTAAACTCGGAACATTGGGGCAACTCGAATATTCTATTTTTGTATCATTAGACTACTGAATACCAGGACGGAGGGTGAATAAAGGAATGACAAATGGGAGTTGGCACGACACCATCAAGGATTTAGGTCAGTTCTACTCTCACTCATTCCTCTCCAAGCACTCCAGTTTGTTCTCTTCCATTTTTTATCTGGCCATTCGCCTCTTTTTACTTCCGATTGTTCGGCGCATCACCACTGAGTGGCCGATGGATGATTAACTCGGTACAATCGAGAAGCCATACAATTTATGGCGATATTTCATTCTCTCTGAGTTGAAAATTTTTAATGACACCCATTTGGGTTGACAATCACTTACTTTCGATATTCCCTTTGATATCACTGGAGTGCTTTTACGTTGAGAATTTATTGATGAGAAAATTAATCTTCAGGTGGTCAGTGGAACTGGTAGGTGTTCAAGATATTTCAATTATAAAAATATCTCGAAGTCTCGAACGATTCAGAATACGATAGCTAACCAATACTAATCATGACTGGAATTCCCGTGAGTCGCCAGCGATGTGAGGTGAATTTCTCCAAGTGTGAGTTACGGTAAATTTATATAGCCCATAAGATGCGTAAATGAAGATGTCGAAGGGTATTCTCGGCACCACCATAACAGGTGGAGAAGGGAGACCCACTGGGCGGTTATCAGAGCACGTCCGATTCAATGACGCAAGCCACGTGAGGTTAGCGAAGCATAGAGTAAGAGAGAAATTCATTTCCTTGGTAATAGTCGCCTAGGAAATTGGCGTTCGAAGTTTCAGGCAACTTGCTGCCGCGAAAATGAATAGTATATAGACCATCCGGAGATTGTATAACGACTATTTGACTATTTCTAACATTTCTTCTCTCATCGATTCTCATTATCGATTATGACAGACATGAAGTTGAATTTCCTCGTAATACTCCCAGTCGTCCTCATTAAAAAACGAAGTGAATTTTTCTCTTATTTCCAGCGAATGCACGGAAAAAAAGGAAACGGCGAAAGGCCTGAGATCGCGGGATTTTCGCCTGAGATTTACACGAGCGAAGGGCTTCGGCGGGAAAATCCCGTCGTTTTCCCTAAGGAGCGCAAAATATTCCTTTCCCCAACGTTAATTGTTTGAATATTCGATAGGAATTTGAATATACGGTCACAATCGTGAGAATTAGGGGAAAATACCGCACTACGTAAGGCATTAGTCGCTTCGTCGTAGGCAATTTACAGAAGAAACACATGAATTTATTTTGAAATATAATAAATCATAGTTTTCACATAGCCAAGTATGTTTCTTATTTAGTTTCAATCAATCACTGACTGCTACACTGAGGGAAAAAAAGTTTTGTGGGAAGTACGTCCTTACTTGTATCAAGAAAATCATGGCTCGAAAATTGACAAGAAGAAAATATCTCACACTGAGAAAGAAACCTCTCGTCATGAGATTTTGTACTCGTCCAAAAGATCAGAGGTAATTTGTTATTACACAACAAGCAAGCGACTTCTCAAAAATTAATGAATAAATTGATTCAACTGGACTTGGTTTAAGAAATCCCTTTCTCATCGTGAAAAAATTATCTTCATCTTTGGGACGAGTACAAAACCCTTTGACGAAAGTTTTTTCTTTCTCAGTGTGAGATATTTTCTTCTTGACAATTTTCGGGCCGTGAGTTTTTCGATTCAAATTAAGACCTATCAAAAAAACATTGTTTTCCAAGTGCACACAATTAGATTCGTGCGACATTTTTGGCTTTACGGACATGAAAAATCGGAGTAACACCGATCTTCGGCGAAACACCACTGACCTCCGATGTTTCACCATTTCATTTTCCTCGTAGTGTTCGTCAAAGTGAAAAATAAAATATTGACGTTATTTGACAGTTATTCCGAGCGCGTCACGAAGGCGGGGGTGGGAGGTTAGTTACAGAGAACGGGACATATGCAGATGTCCCACGATAAAATCAGGCTAGTTGCAAACGGATTTATCGTCCATCACCAACCGAGCGACACCACATTCTTTATGTTCCCTCAACTCATGAAAAAAAACATGAACACGGTCTCATAAATATGCTGAAAAATGATTCATACTTTTTCATCATGACATTTGAACTTCACCATAGGCAGCCCAAACAAAAAAAAATACATGGGAAGGAAATAAAAATAAGTGCCAGCGGTGCATCGTAAACGTTTGGCGCGTTCGTAAAAACAGCGAAAATTGAACGAAAAAAAAGTACTCAGGAGTTATTTAAACATTAACTCTGCAAACATAGTCACGAAAGAGGAGGAGGCATATGATGTTACGCAGATTGCGCGCCTATGTATGAATACGTATGTACAAGGGGGCGGGGGGCTAGATGGAGGCGAGGGTTTCGACGCTCTCGTGTGTGGGCATTCGCGTCTATTATTCCAGCATCCGGATAGTTTCACCGTTTGGCGGCCCCATCAATTCAGCGCAGTACCCGCGGCCCGTTAAATTTTATCTCGCTCGTCTAGTATCACCATCCATAGCCCCCCCCCCCCCCCCCCCCCCCCCCCCCCCCCCCCCCCCCCCCCCCCCCCCCCCCCCCCCCCCCCCCCCCCCCCCCCCCCCCCCCCCCCCCCNCTCCACCCAAAAACCCATCTCTCTACGTTATACGTACTTAAACGTATTCGTACATGCTAAATCGTCAACGAGAAGCAAACGACTTCCGTTCGTGCCTCGGGCCCATATACCTCTCGTTTAAACTATCTCTCCCCCTGGTGTACCCCTCCAATCGCCCTCGCCCCCTTGTCAACCATCTGCAGGGCCATCTTCCGTCTGCTGATCGACGAACTTTTATCGATTCAGCCCCGATTAATAAACTCAGAATTAATGTTATATTATTCATTTCGTTTTTAATGCTCAGTTTTCTTCGCTATTTCTCTGTTTCAGATGGCACAACTCCCACGCTTTCAACGAGCTTGATAATGGCTGTTATACTGCTCCTATCAGCAGACATGGTACACTGATGGCCGGGTTGTTATGTCAGGTGAGTGATAAAGGAAACAAAATGAGTGGTAGTCACTGGGGTATTCTGGCCGAATTACAATAGGATTATGTTGGACGAAAGAAAGCCTATTATGTGTGTTTGAGAATGGAATGGCGAGGTTGGTTTTTGTTGGCAGTCGTTGGGGCTAATTAAAATCTACTCGGGCGAAAATTCACAACTATGTTACAAATCCCTGGCCTCGCACACGTGAAAAAAGTTTCAACTGCAGGTTTAATGGAGTTCCTTTATTATTTGAAAAAATACGATTGTAATTGTGATTCTCTAGTGGAAAAGTTGGGAATTCTCGACTTATTCCATTTAAATACTTCAATTTTCTCCAGTTCATTCAAAATGCCTTGTTCTCGGCTTTCATGACCTCATTTTGGGGCTCTAACAGAGAAATTCAAATTACCTGAAGTTGTTGTGCACATTGCTACGGTGAATGTAGTATTTAAATTGCACACCGAGAATTTTAAACATTGGAAAAAGTAGTCATTAGAGGGGGTTAATAGAGAGAGGATATGTGCGTTAGCATGTATGTATCAAACTTTGCACTGAAATCTGAGGGGTTTGTGTTGTACTGTTGGAAATTTTTGGAAGTTTCAGTCACAGCGTCATCTGGATTCTGAATGTTGTGAGTTTGAATTCAATTTCAAATTAAAATGTTTATAAAATTTATTAGTTCTCTTGAAAATTCAAGAAAATTGGAGTTTTCATGTTGAGCGATCATTGATATTTCAATGAAAGCTTGAATTTTCGAACTCATTGCGGAAATTAAACTTTGAATGCAATTAAATTTTTAATGGATTGAGGATTCCGAAAAGTTGTTGCTTGAATATTCAGGATATTCAATTAAGAAATATACAGAAATTTCATATAGTAGCTTTGTCGTTGTTAAAAATTACAAGTTTTTTCACTTGAAATTTCAAGAGTAATTTTCTGACAGTGCGGGATGAAAAATGTTAACAGGGAAATTCAAATTACCACGAGTCTTGTGCATACTGCACCCTAACAATTGTAGAAATCGGAAAAATAGACATTAAAAGGTCTGAACATAAATAAACAAATCATTCCCATCGAACTCTGTTGAATAAAAATCCGTTAGGCTTTCGTATATTTGCTCGGGTCATTTGAGTGAGTGAGAAAATTCAGGGAAAATATGCAGTTGTAAAAATATCAAAAAATATCGCAGCTATGAAACCTGAATCGAATGGGGTCGAGTGGAACAGTATACACTGCACCCTAACAATTGTAGGAATCGAAAAACAGTCGTGATTAACAGCTTTCAATAAAAAAAAAAATATAAATTAACATGTGTGTATCGAACGTTTCACTAAAATCTGACCTGAACATAAATGAAAAACCATTTCCATCGAACTCTGTTGAATAAAAATCCGTTAGTCTCTCTTGTATTTGCTGGGGTCATTTCAGTGAGTGAGAAAATTCAGTGAAAATATATTGGTGTAAAAATATCAAAAAATATGGTCGCTATAAAAAGTGAATCGGATGGGGTGGGGGCGGCGGAAGGGGTTAGTGTTGCGATGAAAAATGTTGGGAGTGTCGTTAGCCAGGCTTTTCCGGGTCTCCCTACCAGCCAATCCCTGCGAAGATCATAACGTTCCGCGATTGTCGCTAATCTCCATTTGATATGACTATACAGTTTTAGGATGGCCAAACAGCCCCCACCGGGTTATTTCCATTCATGAAATATCGGTTAACAATACTGTGCTGTGATATCATTGAAAATCTGAAAATCAATATCCGTTCATTTAAAAACGAAAATGCACGAGTTTTAGTTATACACATTGCAGAAACACCTCATTTGTGGGTTTAATGCTTCATTTTGAAGAACCGTAAATTAACCAGACACGCGAGGGTTCCCACCCACCACTCGTAATCACACAAGTACTCTTAAAAACTCTAATGATACTTTTTTTTCTCTCTCCACTCCTCAGGTAAAATCCAGGCAGTGTGGATATTCAGCGCCATACCAAAGAAAATTCCTGCAATCGATACCACAAATTCATGTTCATCTCGATGTGCATCGGTGTAATGCGATGCGTACTTAACTGAGGTGATGACACATCAACAGAGAGAATAATGGAGAATCCAAGTGGATGTATTTTGTCGTAATGCACTGTTGTGATAACAGGGTAACAGAGGTATATTTTTTTTCGCCAAAGACAAAGGAAAATACTATCGTCAAGTACCTTCGTTACAGTATAATATGAAGATTATGCGACATAAATTATATTTATAATGCAATGCTAAGTGTTTATCATCGAATCTAACGATCCAGTTATCAAGGTTCTTTATGTACCTGATGTTTCAACAACCTCGGAGGAATTCTCGAGTGCTTTTTGTGCATCTTGAGAGATGAAACTTTTCACATTGATGTTATTATTGTATAAAGACCCTGTATAGAAGGTAGTGATTAAGGAATGCTGCTGTGTCTGTACATAAATATTTTTTAGCGATTAATTATAACAGCGAGCAATTTGAATTCCACCGGAATTCAACGAAAACTAATTGAACCTAGTCCTGTACTTAGAGTTGAGAGAAGTTTGTATTAATTGTAACAGTGAGTACCATTGTATAAAATAATGCTAGTGTGTTGATACATGAATATTTATTTTAATGAAACTGTATAGAAAATTTTGAAAGCCCAATTTTTTGCTAATTATTCAATAAAATGGGAATTCAATGAGCAGTCAATTTAATTTCAAGTCTAGTTGAATTATTGTTTACTCAAATAAGTAAGCTCGAAAAGTCAATAATATCTCCTTTTTGATGTAAGGACGTAGTGACGTTCGCGTGGGCAACTTTCTAAACTGGATCAGGGGGAGAGAGAGAGAGAGAGGAACAACGGACGCGCAAGCTCAAAAATTTGACGCGCAAACTCCTGGCAGTCAGCGTTGGCTAGGTGCCATCGTATTACGGGTAGTAGTGGGTCGCGTTTAATCCTGCGAACACGTACCACCCGATCGCGCTCACGTGGTGGACGAGAAATTTACGGAACAGCAGGATTTTACCAGTTTAAAGTTTTTTGAATTATAAAATTACTTTTTTCAATTAAATTTTCTGGGTTTTTAATGTTATCGAACTGTTTTCCGAGCAGACGTCACGTGTATGGAGTATTTGACAATTGGAATAAATAATGAGGTTGAATGAGATGGTGATAAATTATTTGAAAAACAAACGTGATGTGCAACCTTTTTAATACACTTGTTGAATTGATAATAAAAAATATTGTAACTGTTAATTAAGGACTTTGTAAACATATTTGATTTGGTAATTTTGTATTGTGTACATCTGTGTAATTTCGAATATGAGTCAATTATAGTGGAACAATTAATAATCATTGACCAAAGTAACGTGGATAAATCGTAGTAAATTAAAATCTTTGTGATGTTGATGTAGTGAAATTTCAAGAGCTCGAACGCGAGAGCCTCTTTTCATAACGTGGACTGAAATTCAGCAATCATACGCAGCGGTATTGGGCTATTATGGATGGACAATGCTTGGTCGACCTCATTTACGTATTTTTTTTTATCGGACTTCTATTCAAAGGTATTAAAGTGCACCCTAAAAGGCTCCATTACCATTTTACTAACGCCAATGATGATAAATTTATCCTCAATTTCCGCTCGAATATTCAATTCATTTGGTTCATTCAATGCGCTATGGATTATTTACAAATTTCAATGCAGATATATTTATTTTACGTCTATCTCCTGTCTGCTTTCATATTTTCAATGACCGCAAAATCCACAGGATTTCGCTCCAAAAATTCCCGAATTATATTGCGAATTATGTGCTCGTTCCATCGGCATCATTAATGAACTATTTCATATCAATTGAGTTATGACGTTCGTATTTACTCAGACAGCGGAAATTCGTATGAATTATCGTTATGACTGTTTGATTTATCTTTACATTCACAATATTTGTAGGCGTTCAGGCAGTCATCGCGATGATAACGCATGCTAGATGGGCCCCACGTGTTTTCATTGGCCTTTTGATTGCCCTCTTGGAATTGTCCCTTCCGTTGTATGGCACTTGATAATCATTGCTGAGTTAGTGACAATAGAAATACGAGCGAACAAAAAAAAATCGAGTTCCGTGCTGAACGAATTTAAAACACAATGGCATTTTGTTATTCTGAAATGGACCTGTTTCTCCACTTATTCGTCCAAATATTTTTACCGTGACATTGCAAACTTGTTCGAATGGAAATCCGATGTTTTCCTACCATCACAATGCCCCCACTTGGAATGAAAGTCGCGGGAAAAATGGCAAGAATGGGAGTGGAAAAAAAATCAGCAAAAATATCGTTTTCATCACAACCATTCAGGTGAATTTTATGGGTCAAGGGACCCGCGGTTATGGTTCATAGTCGACAATTTATATTGATGTGGTTGACTGGCCCCTGCGGTTCTTCAAAACTCTCTACGGGGGGAGTTATACACACACTTATCGAATGTTCCGCTTCAGCTGTGCGATCATTATAATATTTCCTTGCTTCCCTGGAAAATATTCCCCAGAGTCCTGGCAATAAATCATTCACAAAAAAACCCAAAGTTACTTTAACCCGAGAATTTTCATCCTTTGAGTCATAGCATCCGGCTGCTCGTTCCTAAAATTAAGGAGAAAGGAATCATGTAAAAAAAACCTTCATAATTCTAGTTTCATTGAACTTCCGACCTCTTAAAGAATGGCTTGAGAGGGATTAAAAATGAGATTAATTTCACACTGGCAACTTTTCACAGGAAAAAATTCCTAGAATTAGGTTTCACTAAACTTGTCAAGTTTAATGAGCTTCGAAATTAAATTCTCGGGATGAATAAAAAAAATCCAAGTTTTTCAATTATTGGCGAAATTCTTTATCACCGTGCGATATAGTTAATAAATTCAGGGGAGAATTAATTATAACTTTGTACATTTGCACAATAATTCAAACCACTCATCCAACAATTTACAAACTACTATGAAAAGTTTAACATTGCCATCGAGTTGTTTAATACGAAAATCCATTACTGTACACTTGAAACTTAGATATACAAATGGAGGATTGTAGAGCATTGAGCTCAGGCCCACATCGGACAAACCGATTAATTCAACTACGTTGGTACCCTTGAAATCCAATTTCAACGTACCTCAGTGGTATAAGAGGCTGTAGACCTTAACACACGAGGCAAACACAATCCATGTGCATCAACATGTCAGTTTAAAAGACGAAGGAGAAGGGTATTTATTCGATTTGACAAACAGTTTACTCTCCAAGAGTCCAGTAAAGCATTCCGGTCCCTTTCAATTTTCTTCACAAACATCTGTAGTTGTTGCTGTTTCCCTTGACCATACCTGCCCTTCAATTCAATTTCTGTGATTCCTATTTTTTTTTCTCATCCATCATCACAAATGTTTTCGTCCGATATGTCTTTCTTTGACAAACACTGGGGGAAAAAATAAGTTCTGCGGAAAAATTATATGTTCCCCTGCAGAGATATTTTGTTGTGTTCAATCAATTTACTTGTGGAGAAAAAAGAAAGTTTCCCCAAAACATGATAATTTTCGTAGTAGTAATTGTTCTAGGGAGACATTAATACACTGTTAGAAATTGTTGGAAATTTCACGGAAACCATGATAGTAATTCTCGTGAAAGTGACATTGAATCTGATTGAAGAGAAAAATGGTTATTAAATTTCAAGTTTTAGGTAGAATTGATGATAAATACAGGACATGTTCATCAATGTCAGTTTAAAAGAAAGAGAAATTATTAATATGTTCAATCCCAGCGACTACCATCCTATTTTCCATCTATAATTTGACTCCACACTTCCATGTGATTTCCCTCCCTTTGAAGAATTTTCCAGTTGACTTAGTCACTACCCCGATTGCGGCTTGAAATCATGAACAACTTCATCACAAAGTCATCAATAAAGTTATCGTAAAAATACCGCTGATAATAACTGCACCTAATATTCAATAAAACACAATATACGTCCATCATCCATGAAAATTTGAACAACAGTTCTCCTAGAAGTTCAGAGAGCAACCACTTCTTGCAGTTACCATCGCCTCCCCAGTGATCCCGTCCATCCCATGTTGCTGCATTCAACCTCACTAATTCCTGAAACATTTTTGCTCCATAATTACAGCCATTTCCACACGACCTCGTTTTCCTTTGAAAAATTTTCCCCTTGAATCAACGATTCCTCACAAACGGCGCGTTAACTAAAACTACCCCACTCCCCCAGATAAAACTCATCGAAACGATTCGCAAAATACTTTGCGACGCCACATCAACACAATTAAGCCTCACTATTACCAAGTTATCGCAATCATATTACTGAAGAGGCGATTCCCTTTGACCCCAGCGGTAATTAAGTCAGATTAGGTGGAGCTCATTCCAAGGTACTCTGGAGCGGTGAAAAACGCGTACAACCGTGTAATCCGATGAAAGAGGGGAAACAGAAAAGAGGAGGCCAACAGCATACACCGCCTGTGGATATCGCGTCAAACGTCACGTCTACCTTTTCGGAGTCGAGTAGGCCGTATTAACATGAGCTTTGACATGCATATCTACGATACACACGGATAAAAATATACACACAATACACATACATTCATTACATATATTTTTTGCCCCCTCTCCTCCCCGTGCTTTCATCCTCAGTTACGTTTCATACCTCGTTTCGCACTTGGAACAAGGTGTATTTCCCTCCGTCATCACATGCCTCTCACTCCCGCCGTCTCTCTCCCAGCAAAATCTGATAGCAGTACCCACTGCGGGTAGTATAGCTGTTGGGTGAGTGGTCCTATTTAAAAGACCTTGAGGCTTCTGACGCTGAGGTAAAGAAGGTAGAAGGGCTGCTGGCTAGGTTGGTAGTGGTCGTGGTTTGATGCTTATATGTCCCCTGCGTTTTTCCACTTACCGCCTGCAGCGAGGCACACTCTCGAGAGGATCGTCGAGAGCCGCCAACAGTGACGAGCAACACAGAGAAACCACCCCTGTACTTCACCTGCATGCATGTGAATATATATTTTTGTGTTGGCTCCTCGTCTGCACCTTCCAAGTTCTTTGCCCTTTATAGGGGGTCTCTGAGGTACCATACACAAATCCTTTGATCTTGTCGAGCATTTCACGTACGCACTGAAAAAATTCTGAAATCAAATAAGAGCGCAAGCTGCCCCCCCGCTACCGAGTAAACATACACAAAACCTGCCATGTGGGTCGTGTAATGTGGTAGTAAAAAGAACACGAGAAAATGAGCAGGAATTTTTTCTTTCACTCCCCATACGTGATGCTGAGTTGTCCCTTGACGCTGTTGATCCGCCTCACGAGTCTTCTCGTTCGTTTGAATCTCAAAAGGCCTCTTCTCCAACGCGGTTGCACATACGTGTGAACATACCGACATCGCGGCAGTTTTTCAATCGTCAAATGAACGGGTCTTGCGTATTAGAAGAATGTAATAGCTTAATTTGGAGTATCGATCGGCGGATGGTTGCTCGTATGGACGCATATAGGCACGTTTTCCTGCGGTCGTGAGTCGTGTTTACCCCTGGCTCTCCACCACCATCGAGATACTAGTCGACTCGCACGCTAACCATTATAAAATTACCCTCCGATGTATATATTCACGGTGGGTGGGGCTCATTGGCGGTGGGGAGATTTCGAGAAAAAAAACGATAGAATAGCGAGGAGTCGGGGAAAAAAATAAGATGAAAAAGGAAAAAAGTGGGTGGAAACGCTCCTCGGCTTTCAAACCGTTTGTGTGTACGCGTGAACGAGCTTTTTTTTCCATTTGTTTGACTTGTCAGACAGGCAACACACGGTAGTCTAGAGTACACGGGGGAGGGTACATATACCCAGAGCGATGAGGCCTCGAGGGAACCAATGTGAAATTCAACGAGGCTCCATGTCGACTGTATATATTGAACTCTAAACTTATTCCCTCACGATACACGTTCAACTACATGCTTTTCTTCCATTCACACGAAAGCGATTGAAATTTGTATGGCAATGCTCGAAACGCTTGAAACTTGACGACTCGAAGTGCCCATAGTGCCTTGTGTACTCATTTGCATTTGTAATTCTGATTTTTTAACTTTGTTTGCAAATTCCGAATAGTTAGTTCGCAGTTGAGCACTGGATAGGGTATATTTAACGAGCTGGCGAGGAGTGAATTACACTGGAAAGAAAAAATTCCCTCGATTCAAGTAGTCATGCTTGCATCATGAAATCTAGCTGCTACTCAGATCAATTCAACTGTGCTCGAATTGAATAGGAGACTGTTGGGATCAAATAGAACCCTACTCCATTGATTCTAGTTGGAGATTGATTTCAGGATTCTAGAACTTCAGGGTAATGCCGAAGTAGACGCATCGCAAAAGCCATGCAAGTGCTCATTCAACTGTTCTTTGATTGCTTTTGACAATTGCTAGCTTTGCGCGCGTCTTGCAATACGGCCACTGTGACATCAGTGTTGGTATTTTTCTGGACATGTTACGTGAGACTGACTTTAGTTAGATTTTCGTTTTTATGTTTTATTATTTTGTTATTATATTATTTTCATTTAAAAACTCGCATTAATTGCGTATTTGGGAGATGGGAATTTGTCGTAGGCTGCACTGTTAGAAATAGAATCAAATTTCCTGGACAGGTGACGACTAATTTTCAGGACAGTGACAATGAATGAGATTTAGGGGAAAATATGAAATTTCAGGGTTCAGTGAAAAATTCAGTGAAATCTGAAATTTCATGATTTTTTACCCTTAAGTCGCATTCAGTGTCACTGTCCTGACAATTCAAGAATATATTTACCGGAATGTTTTGGTTTTTTTATTCATTTTCAGGGAAAAACTGAACTGAAATCTACAGTTCTCTCCGATTTTTCCCCGAAATTCTGAATTTTCAATAACGATATTCCTTGAAATTTCAGTGGCAATTAAATTCGATAAAAATTTCCGAAAAGTGGGCCTTATGGGGTGCATGCACCGTAGTTGGGCAATAATGATGTTTTTTGCATGCAATTGTTTAACTTCATTAATTATTTCAAGACTTAATTTGATAAATCATTTCAATGGATTCCAGGTGAACTGGTGCGTGACATTCGATCAATATGTTACATTGAATTAATTATTGCATTAAAAATTATGTTCCAATTCAATTAAAATATCACAAATATTTGAGTCTAATGAGTTTATAATACAGCGGCTCTTCTGAATAATAAATAAAAATGAGAGTGATAATGAGAATAAAATAGACTGGCTGGACATATCAAAGCCAATGAAAGCGAGAGGAACTCGCTGAGTCACGGACGCCACATTTTGTGAATTTGATTAATTATTTCAATATATTCCGGATTAACTGACGCGTGAAATTCGAATCAAACTAAATCTCTACAACGTGCTGAACAATATCCTATAGAAGATATATTTAAAAAAATAAGAGATACCTCGCATGGGCCTTTACCAATCGTATATGAAGGATTATAAATGATTCTATATTTGATATTCGTTCATTACTGTAGCCGATACATAAACCCTCATGTTTTTCGCAATCATATGTGCGATGATGTATTCAATATACACTGAGAGGAACACTAACATGTTCTCAAACAAGTCTTGTTTGGACCAAAAACATCGCAAGTTGCAAATTACCAAAAAAGAAATTGTTGGTTTTGACTTTGAAAGTCTTAAACATGAATAATCACTCTGCTTCCAACAACAACGAAATATTTGGCTCAAGAGGCAAATTATTCACACGCGCCTTTTCAGGATAGAAATATCGCTCATAACTAGAAATTTGTCAGGAAATATTTTGTTCCTAAATTAACCGATTGCTATCGTATCATCATCATAACTTCATTTAAGAATTTATTTTTCACCTGTGGTTATCGAATAGCCCGAATGAATGACGGTAGACCCTTGTTTTGCATAAAACAAACATTTCCAGAGAGCAAAATAGCGATGGCTGCATCCAACAACGAGGAAGTAGTGCTAACAAGAACATTTCTTGCGTGCAATAGGAATAACAATTTTTTTGAACAATTGAATTTAGTTTTGCGACAAAAATTTTTCATCTCAGAACATTCCATAAATGATGAGTATTATCACAGACAGAAAGTGTTGATTTTCACGGACATGTCAGGGATTTTTATCACTGAGAATGGGTGACAGAGTCACAGAGGATCGCAAGTCTCCAATAATTAGGCATAAATTCTTAAAAATCCGTGACATGTCCCTGAAAATGAAAATTTCATTTTTCTCTGTTAAAAATTTTAACTCTATTGAAATTTGCGGTGAGAGTCTTGGAAATTTCGAACTAAGTAACATTTCCACTAAAGTTTTCAAGAAATTTTTCATTGAAAATTCAAAATTTGATGAAAAAATCCGTCGAAACTGTAAATTTCCATTTACTTATTTCGGGAAAATTAATGAATAATGAGGAAAATTCGGAGAAATCTCTCCTTAAAATTCCCTTTGATTCCTGGAATTCCTGGATTAAAATTCCTGGAATTCTGGGAATTTTAAAATCGAAAATTCCTGTAAATTGTGAAATTTCCGGTTTCCTGCCCCGAAAAACTTGAGACTTTACTTGAATGCTCGAAAAAATCTGAAATTCCATTGTCTTTTTCCCCTTAAATCGCCTTCAATTTTTTTTTCCGGAAAATTCAGCCAAATTTTGTTAACAGTGTAGATTTCCTTCTTTTGCTAATTTCAATGTGCAATTTGATTTGGTTTGAACAAGACTTGTTTGAGAAACTCTGGTTTTCTCTCTTAATATATGACACACACGTTTCATATATTTCTACTCCCGTCTAGTCATACATTTCCACAGGAGCTAGATTGAAGAAAAAATTGGGTTATTTTTACAGAGGTCGAACCAATCAAGATAACAAAAGTCCAGATACCGAGTGTAGTGAGAGCAGGTACCGAAGAGCCGATTATTCTGGACTGTCAATACAGTATGGACGGTTCATCGAATTTAGCCCTTGTAGTTAAATGGTACGTCAATGGTGAAATACTGTATCAATGGATCCACGGACGTGCTCCACAAGGCTCGGAGGAGTTTCAACAGTACATTGATAAGTCTTACAAAGCAAGCACAAATCCAGACATGGAGTACAGAGCGGTGAAGCTCGTTAGACCAAGTCATGATTTGTCCGGAAAGGTTAGGTGCAGTATATCAACGCAGGATGGTGAGGACGAGGCGGAGGGTGAGCTGCTGGTCTACTGTGAGTATTCATTTTACTTTCATGTACTCCGGGTTTTGGGTTAAAATGCACTTTCATTGGTGAACATTTCAAATGGAGTCGAGAAAAAAAGAGAACGGGAAATGTCATCCATTGACAAAAAAAATAGAGATAAAAAACTGATTTTTCATTTTTCGAAGAGCTGAGTGCACGCCCGGGCTAGAGTGTAGTAAGGCCGTGCAGGACAGAAGCGAGGGGCTGGGCTAGTGGTGGAAATCGGATGTAGTCAGGCGACATAATTCAATACACACGACAGAATGTCTGGCATAGTAGTAAGTGCCGGTATTGTACGGGCATATATAGTAATAACGTGAGGGCTCAATGGAATAGGTTTGTATCGATTGGGAAAAGCCAAAAGAAGACGCGCTCTCACATGTCACATGTATATTTTCCCCCTCAGTGCTCTTCATCTTACTCTTTCCGAATGTGTCACAGTATTTTATTTACTTTTGAAGGATGAAATTCCACATTCCCCCCGTCCAACCGCAAGATCACGGTGTATGAAATTTGCTCAGCCATTGGCAACGAAAGCACGAGGGGAAAAAGCTTTCATACGTGATATACTGGCTATGGATATTACATTCCATAGCTGGGAGATCGACATCAGTGAGGTCCAAGCACTCTGTTTACTGAATTTAATGTTAGAGCTCTCTGTGGTGTATTCATTCAGTATACTGTTAAAAATTTGAGGCTGTAATTTCCCGTGTACTTTTTGCAAATTGTTTTCACGTTATAGTTTTCCTAACATGTCAAGAAATTTCGTTATTGAAAATTTTTTGGTAAAGGCCTTTGCTATCTCCAGCAACGAAGAATTGTCTGGAAACGATTCTTTTGGCTGAAATTCGGAAATGATTCGGGTATCCCTCTCAAGTGCATTTTTTCGAAAAGCATATTCGAAAGATGTTTCTGCCTGAAAACGTTTAATCCTTTAAATTTCATGTATTTAATTGATGAAAACTCATTAGTTCTCTTTTGTACAATCAAAGCTAATGAGCTATATCGTTTCAATTCCCCGAACTATCTGCATTATGGGAGAATATATTATATTGCGAATGGAGATATTTTTCCTAATAAAATTGCTAGCCTCGAGCGCTCTTCATGCAGCGCTCTCTCGCAGGACCCCCGAAAAGACTGAATGATAACGTTTTCGCTGGGCTTTAAAAAGTTTTTTTCGTACCTGGGGTTTGGAAAGTTCACCGCACTCTAGCGCAAATTAAAATACTGCATTTCTTTTGATTTTTCGTAAAATCAGATTCCTTTAAATTTCATTCATTTAATTTATGAAAACTCGTTAGTTCTCTGTTTTGCCATCAAAGCTACTCTCAGTTATATCATTTCAATTCCCTAGCGTATCTGCATTATGCGTGAATACATTATATGATAAATGGAAATAGATATTTTTCCAGATGAAATTGTTAGCCTCAAGCGGTTTTCATGCGCTAATAGAAAAGATGCAAGAATTTACTTGCTGTTAACGACGCTTTTTCACAATTAATGCTATTTGTTAAATATTAACGAATGGTGTGTGGTCAATCCGTTGAATTTCAACGATGCTTCTTAACCATTCAGTAGCGAACTGGTAAAACGGTTTATGTCGACTTAGCCCTTAGCTGAGTTTTCAAGGAATATCTCCGAATCTAAGAGAGCTAACGAAATTTTCGAAATTACCTTTTTTGTAGAATGAATTGAGGGCGATAAAAAATATTTTAACAAAAATTCAGCTATCTTCCTTAGCTAGGAGGAAATATTCGAAATAAAACTGTTGGATAGCATCAAATACTGCGCTCTGATTGGTCGAAATCCGATTGAGAAACTAATCACTGAAAACTGGCCAATAGTCAAAGTAGACTTAAACCGTTTTACCACTCCGCTACTGTATTAATGCTATTCGTTAACTATTAACGAATGGTGTTAATATTTAAAAAGCCTCGTTAACAGCACCTAAATCCTTCTATCAGTGTGCAGCACTCTCACCTGAAAGCCGACAAGATGGGGAAATAATCTGTAAAATCTGGGATTTCATGAGTTTTTTTCTTTTTAGTCGGATTTAGTACCATCCTTCTAAAAATTAATAGCTACTCACTACATTTCAATTTTTTCCTAACAGTGTACTCAAGAGATTTATCTGCCTGAAAAACGTGAATCCTCTAACTTTCATGCAGTTCATTTTTCGAAAGCTCATTAGTTCTCTGGCTTGCAATCAAAGCTACTCAGTTATATCGTTTCAATTCCCCAAAGTATCTCCATTAAACGAGAATACGGTATATGTCAAATGGAGATTTTTTTCTAGATGAAATTGTTTGCCTCGAGCGCTTTTCATGCGGCGCTCTCTCGCAGGAAACCCGAAAAAAATGAATCATAAAGTATTCTCTGGGAATTAAAAAGGTTTTCTTTATAACCGGGATTTGAAAATTTCCAGCGCCCGAGCGATCGCTGCAAATAGCAGAGCCAATTTCCAACGATGAAACGAAGCAGCTGTCTGTTACGTGCTTGGCCGAGGATGTCTATCCGCTACCAATTATAACAATTCGCCGGGACAAGTGAGATACATTCAGTGTGTTAGAATGTTCCCATAAATTCAATCCAATTCAATTCAATTTTTCTATTTATTTTCAGTCAAACAATTAAGGATCAGAAAGTGTATCACAATGAAAAGCAGGATCGTCGCTACAATGTCGGTGTTTTAGCTGTCATTCCAATGGAAAAGATGGAACTACCAACGAAATTTCAATGTGAAATCCACATTGCGGCGGCCAATTACACATCAATTCGTGAATATGTCTACAATGGTGAGTGACACCGCTAGACAGCGACTGATAAAACTTTATCATTTAGTGTATATTTCAATTTGTATGGAGGCGAAATAGAAATAGTCCTGTCACAATTCTCATTTCGGGGTATTGTGACGCAAATTGAAACACAAGTGATTGTACAGGTGTACATCGCTCCATGCATACACGACGTGGAGAAACAGACACTCTCAATGCAACTGGAATTTTTCCATTTCCCTCTCTATTTATTCCCGTAAACAATTAAATTCACATTGCTCTAATTTTTTCGGTGAGGAATTTATACCAGTCGGTATCACGAATGAAAAGTTTTTTATTAGTTTTGTTTTTCATTCTCTTGGACGAAATATTGCTATCTCACGATTCTTTAACCAACCCCTTGGAGACGTTGGGTAACATATAAAGAATCTACCGAGTGAAAATGGCCGGGGAAAGCGATAAATCTTCGTTCTGCCTTAGGAAGACGGACGGTCGTCGTCTGAACGGTCGCAAGCTTCTCTACGTCACCGTAACGGCGAAGGGAAAAATAGTAAAATCCACATGACAATTTCTCTCAATATTTTAGATGCTAAATTTCCCATGAAAATGCCCTATCTAGTTGCTCTTTCGTTTCCCCGTGACATTAGGTATTGTCCTTGTTTTTTTTTTTTTCATTTCACTCCTGGCAAAAGCAATTTCTCTATCCCTCTTTTCATTAGGTCATTTCTGGACGGGACGCATTACCTACAGGCAATAACTGGTACAAGCGCTACGGGAGCAGTGAAGGATATTTCCCGCAGGATGAAAAAGTTTGCCCAGGCTCATTGGCGCACACGCGAGCTCAATAACCCCTCAATGTGGAGGATAACGAAGAAGGGAGATGACTCATTTAAACCTGCCATTTTCCATCTTGATATGTTTTTTTTTCTCTCGTATATACCGCGGAAGTCATCGCCCTCCCAGTCGAAAAGATAATTCACACATTCATCACGGTGGTTTGTGTGATGGGAATTCCCGTGGATTTTCCATGAAGTTCTCGTGGAAACTCAAAAAGTTCGTGAAATAATACATGAATCGGAAACACTGAGAAAAAAATTTTAATCTCTGAAACATATTTACTAGAGACAAGTAATTTTTCTTCAAATTTCTTCAAATGGACATTCCTGCAGATACCAAAAATGCTCCAGAATCTTTCCGGAGTGCTTTCTCCCTCACAATTTCCATATTATTAATTCCAAATCTCGTTTCTTATTTTCCAGGCACTGATGGCCTTCGCTTGTCCCTCGTGACATCGTTCATTATATACGTCTTCGTTATCACAACAACTGTACTCCATTATTGAAGATGAATCAAGAGAGACAAATACATAAACTGTTATCCAATATCGAGGGAATGAAATAGTCAACTGCGGAGTCACCAAGTAATTCTCGAGAGGAACGAACAAGGAGAATAAATCGGAATTAAATGTATTGTATGAATTCCTCATACCCTGCGTCAAATATTTTGCTATTCACGTTAAAAAAAAGCCCCTTTCTACATCATTAACCTGGTACACAAATTTTTGTTGTGCAGAACTGCCATAGTTTGAAGACACGTAATTCATTAAATACTAACAGGGTACTTTGCAAGTAAACGGAAATGTCGCTGGGAATTAAGAGGAAAGAAAGAAACAGTGAATAGAATACTTTGTTCATCCGGTATTTAATCTCCAGGATAGTATAATAATTTTTTTACGAGAATTTTACTTTTCATTTCCATTCGCAAATATTCATCATCCGGTACTAAAATCCGTGCTTTTTCCTCATTCAACTCATATATTTTTCAACCATTGTGACGAATTATCTTTTCATCGTTGCAAAATAATGCATGGGCCATTTGTCATTAACCATTATGTGTACATCGGAAAAAAAACTAAAATAGCTGAAAAGATGGAATTTCATATAAGTAAAATACGTCCGGGAGAGCAATAATAAAAATAAATAACAACGGGTTGGAAAAGTTGAATATGCAGGTCACAGTGATAGCATGAAAAAGCGAATGCAGACCAAGCGAAAAAATCATTAACACAAGGGAAAAAAATGTCGGGGGCGGAGAGAAAGAGGGGCAGGAGAGATAGCAGGTAAAGAAAGATCGCAAGAACTGCAATAGTACTGTGATACAGTGGCCATTGGTGTGAGCCATCAAAAATTCAGTGCTCTCTTTCCCTCAGCATAGACTACCTTGAACAACGTACATTCACTGAGTATTAAGAAAGGTGAATTTATTCATTGACATTGAAATAGTCAAGTTACATGGGAAGAGGGTTTGGCTCTTATTGTCTGGTAAATCTAATACGATAGTCTGGGAGGAGTAAGCGAAAATGTGGGTAAATTTACAATATTTGGGACCTCCTCAGCATAAACCCCGGACGATCGTACGTGTTTATGAATTATTCCTGTATTATCGTTCTTATAGAGACTCTAACAAATTTTATGTAAAAAAAACAAAATATATTAAATAGAGTACCTATTTCGAATGAGGAGAGATTTACTGAAATGACAAATCGATAAATTACTCTCACGTTTTTGTAACTGTTTCAATCTATTATTTTAGACTGATAAAAAAAATGAGCGAGTGTTAAAACTATGGTGGAGTGAAGTAAGAGAATAAAAAGATACAGAACATAATCGGTGTAAAAATTGTCACATGATATTTCTCTGGAAATAAACGGAACGTTGATAAAAGATGGTTGTTTCGAGAGTTTATGATATTCTTTATGGAGTTGTAGGTAACGTGGAATGTATCAATTTTTGTAACATTGATTTAATATATTTTCTTTCAACTGAGAGGGCCTAGTGCAGCAGTGCTTTACACTTTTCCACGAATTATGTTACTGATTTACCTCTTGTCCACGAAAATTCTCAGCAAAGTTTGAGGGCAATTCAATTTTACACATTGCCGAGAACTTCTCCCGTTTGACGCACAGGTGAGCCTTTCTACTATTGCCTCCAGGGGCTAATTCTAGTATAAAAACATTTGTATTGTTCATTTGCTCCGCACTGATTGCAATTTTTGGTCTATACATTCGGAGATGTATACATCAAATTTACTGACAGTTGTGAAGCAATTGAAACTGGATATTATCCTCATAGAATTTATTGCAGATGGAGTACTCGTTGAAAAGTTCTTGAGACATCAATTCATTCAAGAGAATGAATAGTGTGGATCGCTTCCAATCTCCGGGAAATTCCCTCATTAATTTCTATAGAGCGATAGAATTCTGTAAAATAAAACTCACTTTGAATTTACTATGCATCATCTTTTATCGATACATAATTTCGTCATAATATTTATGCGCCTCATCCATTAAACGACAAGAAAAAGCAATTGCTTTTCCCTCCTGTCGCTTTATCTACTTTCGTTCAAGCATATCCTTCACGTCAGACGAATTCATAGCAACTGGTTGAATTTATCCACAGGCATCTGCCTCACGAGTGGAAGCTGAAAATGTCTACCCAACGTGTCTGGTACCCTTAAAGGGAGCTTTTTGCGAGTAACCCACCTCTTTCACATTCCCCTGACGTCTGTTTCCCGCTGGCCCCTCCATGAAAACCACATGCAAACTGTAGAGAGACTCCCGGGGGTAATTTATATGGTCAACGATAAATATCGGAGGCCTTTGGATTTAAACGATGCATTTTCTCCTGACGTTTCACGCCAGCAACGGCGCGGCCCATGCTCCACACGGGAATCGCATGCGTACCGGGCATAAAATCGACTCCTTTCTGCGCGACAGAATAGATGCATCCCCGCGTGCTCTCTAATGCCAGAACTCCGACGTCTATATAGCTTTTGAATAATGAACCATCAGCGGGTTCACTAGTTTATTGGATTTTTCTTGAGTCGTATAAATCATTCATTACGGTTTCATGTGGATTCATGCCGACGAAAAGGCGAATGGAAAATCATGCAGAGGGGAAATAATTCTGGGGTTCTGAGCGAAGGTGAGATACGGGTTTACCAGTGATGGAGGACAGTTTCCGGAGTATTCTGCAATTGAGTTCCACATTCTCTCTTTACAGAGACGGAGAAAATAAAGTTTTGATTTTCAGGAATTGATCTCCAATTAGGAGGGATTTTCGGTTGTGAAATCCAGTGACTGGGAAACTCGGAGATTCGGGGATTTTGTCACCAATTTGAGGTGATATTGTCAATAGTTTTTGGCGACGCGAGGATCACCATTTCTATAATTTATTTTTTTCGTGTATTATTTATAAAAGCGTGTTTGTTATTAATGGATGGAAATTATTAGTCTTTGTGAAATCCGGGGGAATGAGAGAATCTTGAAATTACCATTGCATTGCATTAATGGGACAGTCGTCACCTAAATGTGATGTTAAGCCTAACTGCTGTATAAAGGGCAGTCGCTTAGGATGTTTTTAATGGTGTGGATTAACACAAATTGAATTTTCAAAAAATATCCGTATGTTCTCGAAAATCTCAGAATTTTCTCAAATTTTCTCTCAACCCTGAGAATTTTCACTGATTTTCTAAAAAAAACAGAATTTTCTAGTATTCCAGTAGACGAATGACCCCCAACATGCAATTAAAGACGCGTCCGCGTAAAAAAATACGATTTGTCAGAATACCCTGAACTATATAGAACAATTTTCCTGGGGAGTAAACAAAAAATTCTTTGATATAATTTCTTTTTCTTCTTTCTCCATTTAAACATAATAAAAAGCGAATTGAAATACGAAGCAATGATTATTGAAATCGATGCATTGCATATGGGAAACCTCCAACGAGAACAATTATCAATTAAATTATTTCACATAATGAAAACAAAAAAAGTGAAAAACTGACAATTCCCCTGGCTCCATGAGTTTTCCGATAATTCATTGAATTTTTGTTCCCAGTTCGAATGGTGTACTTTTTAATTCGGTCATTTTACAATTTTATTATCAACGGGGGTATTCAATTTTTCCCAATGCACATTTACTCACCACATAATTTGCAACTTGCTTAAAAATCCCATTCATTTTCATTCAACATTAGGCTTTTTGCAATTCACAATACCGCTATCAGATTACCACTGAGCAATTCGAGATATTTTGACTGCTTTTTGTAATTAAATCCAGACCTCGCTGCAAATGAAATTCAATTCCACTAACCTCTCTCTCCTCTTTTTCCCCTCACTACTTCCACTCGGGTTCGCCTAACAAAATTGGCCGATATGTGCTCCACCCAACGGAGAATGGCATGCCAGCGGCAGTAACGTTGGAATAATCCTCCGGAAAAGGTGGTGTGAGGAGAAGGAACGTCGGAGTTATCAAGAATCCCCCAAAAGCTTTACAAATGCAGGAGCACAATCATTGCACTACCAGAAGCTGCGAAGCACGCGGTAAATTTCTAAGATTTCATCTGGGCACTTGTGTGTTGAGGGAAATTGGGAAATATACGCGAATTAATTAACGATACCGAATTTCATTACCCGGGGTAATTCAGCTGATGGAGAGGGTGCGAGGAGGGGGGAAGGGGGGGGGGCGACAAACCTTGGTGAATATTTTGGCTTTGTGAATATTGAGAAAGCACTGGAACATAATAATAATGATCGAGTTGCTGGAGATGTATAAATACATTTCCGAGAATATCCCGACAGTATAATCATAACCATATTCCTTGAGGGCATCTGAAAGTTATACCATTACACTTTCACCTCCATGAATCTCTCCCCTGTTAACTTCAGCATACATCGCATTGCTGATATATCCTTGAATTTTAGAAATCGGGGTTCTAGAAGGCATAGCACCGAGATACACTGTTAGAAATTTTTTGAAATTTCATGGAAGGTATTGCAGTAAATCTCACGAGAATGACATTGAATCGGATTTGAGGAAAACGTGGTTATGAAATTTCAAGTTGTCAGGAGAATACACGGAAATCATTTGAGAAAACAAAGTTAGTAATTCGAAAGCCCTAATTTTTTCACTTCAGGAACTCAAAAGTACTGAATTCCAGAACTAAGAGTGCCTTAAAATAAGAGAAAATGCGCTTTAATTTGAGTAGAATGGGTACTGGATTTTCGAAAATAACTGAAAACTATAACTTTTTTCTATGATTCTCAGGGAAAATTTTCTTAGAATAAATGAGAGATTTTGGATTTCTTACAGAAAACTAAAATCATCAACGATTGAGACCGAAGTTGACCCAATTAGTAAGATGATTCTCATTCTGTTACTTCCACTTTGATGATAATCCGGAATTGACGTTAATGGTGTCGATTATTTCCGTTGAATTCAAATGAGAGCGTAGAAAATTATGGAATATTTGATGATCCCATTGTACTGGAAATGACGTTACATACCCTTGCATATCTCAAACCATTGAAATATTACAAATGGAATACGATCAATTGTGCCGCGTGCAAATCAACAGGTAAGCGGGGGAATGGGCTAATGGAGGGAATTTGTTTGCTGAAAGCGTCGCCTGAAACCATTGGATGGCATGAAGTCAATTAATTTACCTACTTAGTCGATATCAATTCGTTCATGGCAATCATGACAAAGTAACTCATATCTCAATATTTATTATGTCAAATTGACTATTATTACATTCTCAATGGATCATCATTCTCAAGGGAGTTATTCAAAATCAGTCAAATTAAAATTCCGTCCTCTGTTAACCCGAATCCATTGCTATGTGTCATTCACTATTTTTTATTCACTCCAGTGTTTGAAATGATCGTATCTAATGAATGGCTGTTGATCAAAATGAATCAAATTAGCCTGATTGAATTAAATATCCAGGCAGGAAAGATTAACCATCGATGTTGAAGAAGTATAACGGATCGTGATTGCTGTTATCACTCTCGTCACAACGGACATCACTGCAGTCTATTGCAATCGGAAATGCAGAAACGTAATTGCTTCACCGAAACTTCGTGATTGTTGTCAGTAGATATCGGTAGTCCCATTCATCGGAAGCAAAGGAGAAAGAGAGATCTTTCTTCGGCTTGCTCGATTTTCCGGAGTGCACCTTTTGCATAATGAATTTTATTGATCTGCCCCCAAAAAATTAATCATTCAAGTCCTTCTGTGCTTGACTGGCAGTATATTTTTCAATTCACAGTTAGAAATTTTTATATAGGAAAATTTCCTCAGATAACTCGCTAAGTCGATCGACATTAATTAAATTGACCTGATTGTCTGAAGTGTTTGAACTCGGATATGATGTTTGGATTAAATATGCATGCGGGAAAGAATACACATCGATGGTGAAGAAGTATAATGGGAAGTAATTACTGTCATCTTGCTCTTGTCACGCTGGACCTCACGGCGGTTTATAGCAATCGAAAATGCAGAAACGTAATTACTTCAAGGAAGAAATCGGTAGTGCCATTCATCGAAAACAAAGGAGAATAGGAATCCTTTCTTTGGCTTGCTTGATTTTTTGGCGTTCACTTTTAGAATAATGCATTTTATTGAGATTGCCCCAAAAAAAATTAATGATTCAAGTTGTTCTGCGCTCGACTCGCGTATATTTTTCAATCGGCAGTTGGAAATTTTTATCCGAATTTTCCATGTTCAATCCTGGCAATTCTTATCTAGTGTAATTTCCTTCTGTAACTCACCAAGTCGATGAAAATAAATCAGATGAACCTGATTTTCGCAAGTATTTTAAGCTCGGATATGATATTTGGATGATTAAATATTTATGCGGGAAAGAATATTGATCGCGGTTGAAAAAGTATGACGCAAAGTGATTGCAGTCGTCCTGCTCCTGTCACCACGAACATCACTCGCATCAATTCTGGAAATTTGACGCCAAGTGAATGTTTCTGTGATAATCCATCGCATCGACCAAAATTAATCACATTAACCTGTCTGTCTTAAGTATTTTGAGCTCGGATGTGACTACCTCCACACGAGTAAAAAAAGCACATGCCACTCGCCTTGAGATATATTATTTCGCTCGAGAACGATATTTCTTATCACAATGGTTCGCATGCACAGCGTGCGAGAAGTAGATGTTTTAGGACGACAGTAACAAAAAAGTATCAATTCAATTTTCAAACAAGCAGCAGAATCTACTCCCTAATAATTCAGTGACTGCAAAATTCAGAAATTCACTGATTTCGTCACCAATTTACGGTGTCATCATTACTAACTTCCAGTGATATCGTCACTAATTTTCAGAATAACGTCGCTATTTTCCAGGAATCCATCTCGAATTTTTAAAGATGCTAATTGCTAATTTCCAGTTTAATTTTTTCAATGTGTAATTACTAATTTTCAGTGATCCCTTATCGTCCCTAATTTTCAAAATCATGTCAATGGTTTCCAGGAACCCATCTCTAATTTTTATGAATCTCTCACCAAATTTCAGTGCTAAAAGTCACTCACTAATTCTAGTAAGCGTCCAGTATCACCAATAATTCAGTAGCGAAGTGGTAAAGCGGTTTAAGTCGACTTATTTCCCAACTGAGTTTTTGAGGAATATTTCCGAATCTAAGGGAGATAGCGAAATTTCCGTAATTACATTTCTTGTAGCTCTTAATCGGCTCTACAAAAAAGGTATTAACAAAAATTTTGCTATCTCCCTTAGATTCCGAGATATTCATTGAAAACTGTTCAATAGTCAAAATTGACTTGTACCGTTTTACCACGTCGCTACTGAATTGGTGATGGATTCCTGAAAATCAGTGAGATATGCCTGAAAATCACCTTTTTTTCTCTGTGCAGAATCTCCGCATCGGGTTCCTCATTTTCAAGTGACACTCCCCTCGATCCCTCGATAACGACACGAAATAAGTCGATTTCCGACATGATTCCGCCCTAGTCCTGATAATCTCTCGAAAACTCTCGTAGCAAATGCGCCAAACCCCGAGAAATGAAACTCCTCGAATAGTCTCATCAATTTCACCTGCATCGAGATCATTCCACGACAAATCTTACCAATGTTCATAATGAAGGAATGCAATCCCCAGGTATATACGTTGGGCCACTTTCGTATCGACTGGAGGCAGGCGCACAGCAGAACGAGTGAATGCTTCATCGCCAGAGGGCAAAAATATCTGGTCCATCGGTAAGAGATCGAATCTCGTCTCGATGCACGGCGGGACAAAAGAAAGGCTCTCACTGTGTAAATGCTGGACTCTCTCATCGTACCACTGATTTTCCTTATTTTTACGTTTACCCAAGCGAAATCTTCCAAGAATGGAATACGAACGATAATCTCGGCGGTACATTGTGCACGTGTACGTGAAAAATCCAGCGAAATTTTAAACGGCAATGCACACTGCGGGCAAAAAATTCGGCATCCTCATCTCCCTCTATTCTTTTCACCGATACAATTTCCATCACTTTCTCACCGGAGTACCCTACAATCCTCCTCATTCCTCCCTGCCCACCGCTCCCCTCATTGTTACACAGCATTGCTGAAGTGCCCATCTTACCTTTCACTCTGCATGGCACCTGTACACACCGCAGTGTGTATCGCCCGGACCGACCGGTGGAACGCGTCAACAATCGGTAAATATAAAATATACCGGCATGTATACACCCGTGTTTTTAATGAAAGAAGGAAGGGAGACGAGTGGATTCCTGTCCAGGGAAATTTCCTCCTCGTACATGTAAGACATACACACGGGTGAGAGGTTAGTGGCTATTGGGCGTGGGGGGATAACTGGAGCTTTGGCGAGTCAAGTCAAGTGGATCGCCAACGAACGTTACAGTTTGCAGATTCTCTCGTACCGAGTGCGTGTTTATAATGAGATTAGAAAATAGTTAAACACGTGTTGGCAGTTGATTTCATCCGATTTGATGTTAATTCGTTCAGTGATAAGCTTGTCATTGAGTTGAAGGGAAGGCAGAAGTTAGGGATGTTGGTCCGTCCTGTGAGTTGAATATTTACAAGTAGAGAACGAAAACGGGGAGTATCGACTCAACGCGATAATTCAAAATTCATACTTATCGGATTGAACAGTTTTGAAAGGGATGTTTTTCGCCTCGTCGAGTTTATGGTTGAGGGGATAAGCTCTTGCGCGTTACTAATGAAAGTCATTATATTTTCATTACAGATTGTGGTAATTTTATGGCTGGTGGTAGCCTCCATCGCAACTCCCCCGCCGGGCTACATCACAGGCAGTGAAAATGACAAGGTAAATAATTGAAACAAAAATTAAATGATTCACGCTCAATTACCCAGGAAATTTCTCCAAGTCGGGAGAACTTGGAGCAGACAGAACATCAATTAAAATACTTCTGCATACTTCTCTATATTTAACATCAGCAACACGTACAACTGTTCTATTTCGTCCTCTCGTCATGCCGAAATTCAAAACAAACGGACAATTTTCTTCTTAATTATTCATCGACCGTGAGCACTGAAAAACCGGTTGATTATTGAAACTTTGAAATTACTCGTTGTGAAGAGATATAATCACATTCGGGAAATTTCAATGTGTCAGTCAGAGTCAGTTTGGCCCTGGGGGCTGAGACATCAGGTAAAAAGTTCCATGACACGTTCATCTTGTGTTTCACATGTGCAAATCGGTTTTGGGAGAGTCGCGCCCAAGAAAATACACGCCGTTGGGGGGGGGGNGGGAGATGTGAGTGAAATGCGGGTCGTTGTTGGCAGACAACTGTTACCTGCACACGTATACGTTGAGTTTTGTCTTTCTCTCTCTATGAAACTGGTTTTCTGTACGTGAAAATGTCGGCGCATCTGACAAACAACAAAACAACTGAGATGTGCGTATGTATCTTGCCGTTGAGGGGCCCACCCCCTCTCCGCCCGTCAATCGCATGCATCCTGTATGTGGGCATGGCCATACACACACCGATCTAGCGAGTGTGCACTCTAATTCACTCGGTCGCTACTACCAACGCGGAAAAGGCACCTGAGACGGGTAAAACTAAAACAGTTACGGCTAGATTGCTGTGCAAGTAGATCTGGGTTAGAGATTTCTTTGCCCGAAGGTCGAGGGCGTATGCCATTTTTATTTTCCACCTCATCATCCGTGATGTGTGTATCGATTGGATAGGTATAAACGTTATATATCGATATTCAGTGCATTTTTATTCTTATTCTACGATCTTTCCGCCTCCCCCGCGGGAAGGAAACGATGGGTTTATGCTCGCTTCTTCCCTACGATTCATTTTATTATCCTTTTAGCCACTTCCGACCCCCCTACCACCCCCTACCGCCCCCACCCCCCACCGCACTTAGATGGATGCCTCCCAAATTCGTTGAACGCTGCACAGATATACATATATGTATAAGTATATATGGGCTTCATATATATAAGCGCAATGCCAGAGTGGGACTTATCCAGATATCTCGGCTTTCCGCTCGAGGGATAAGCCCTCTGGGGAACTTTTTCTAACCACGTGTTACGCGGTGACCTCTCTGTTGGCTTTTTTCCGCCAACTTTTTCTTTTACTCATTTTTGCCCTCGAGTTTCAATTGGATAAAAAGCAGTGGGTTTTTATTCTTTTCTTTGCAACATTGCTGCTGGTCAATTTTCCGATTTTCCTGGGCTTATTTGAGATGCTTGGATAATTAGACTCAATTTTTAATTGAGGGGGAGTTGGGAATGCGAAACAACAACAGTTTATATCGAGTCAGGAAGTGAACAGATTGATTTATGTGAGAGCTTGTTGGTACTAAATTTTGAAACTTAAAGTTGAAGCAATGGATCGATACCACATTAAATGCACAGCCAACAAACAGGAATTACGATAAACTAGTTTGGTATTCCCTGAAACCCCTGTATGAATGGGTCCATACTGTGATCAAGTCCGAACAATTGTCCTTAGGAGTAGCGAGAAAATGGGGGGGGAGGGGTTCGGTTAGCCGCGAGAGTTTCAGTTGTAACCAACCGAGCTTAGGGAGCACATAGTCGGTAAATGAGTCCAACTGGTATTAATTCAACTCGTCGTAAAGTAACTGCTCAAACCGTTTTCCCCCTGACTTTTTACGATTACAGTTTTATATATATTTTTTTTTCTAAGACCTCGTAAAAAATAAGAACTTTCAATTGAGGAATTTCGTCGAGAGTCGAAAGTCGCTCCACTTCCCACGTATTTTTGTCGCAAAATCATGACACACCATCTCATATGAGGAGGAAAAAAATAACTAAGATTAAGTAGTTATACGTTTGACATGAGTTCTAATTAATGAGAACATTCGAAACTCTTTCGCTGATTTTGCCATTTAGTCGGACATTCAAACTGTAATCCCGGACTTTCCTCTATTGAGAATAGCCCGAGGGGCGGAGGGGAGCGAAAACTTGAGATGTATAAACACTGGTGAGTGCCCGAGGGTCCAGCAAAAGCAACTCAAGATTTATATATATAGATCGCTGTGTATAAAAGTACGTACGTGTACTTACACAACTGTAATACACCACACTGATTCGCGAGTAACGTTTGCAGCGGAGTCCACTTTCTCAAGGAAAACCCCTTCCCATCCTCCTGCAAACATCTATTTCATTCTTGCACTGTGGACTCTCAGTGTTGGTTGCTTCTTGCAACGTCTTCTCGGCAAACTCCGAGATGCGTCCTCCTTTCCAATGAACGAAATACTCGATATCATCAAGCAACTCCGAAGCAGCACCAGCGTCCAATCTCTCGCCACCGAGGAGAGAAGTAATTATCCAATTTCCCTTTCATAAATTCAATTTGCTAATTGATAGTTAATTGGGGAGATTTCGTGCACAGGAAAATTTTTGTTATTTTGAGGAGTATGTCCCTAACTCCCAGGAAAATGCGCTGGTGAAAAGTTTCGTCTGAATTTTCTGTGCCAAATCCCGGAAATTTTTATCGTAGTCAATTTCCACTGAAATTTCAGAAAATCTTGTCATTGAAAAATCAAATATTCTAGTGATTTTCTGTTCGAATGATCTGAAAATCAATAAAATACTTGATTTTTCAGGTCAATTATTCCGTGAAAATTCAGAGAAATCAGGAAAATTCAAGGAAAAATGGAAATTTCATGTCATTTTGTTTTTGATTATTCATGATCCATTGAAAATTCAATCAAATTGTGAAATTTCCGTCTCACTCCCACTGGAAACTCATGAATTTCCTTGAATTCTACCTAAAACTTGAAATTTCATAGCCATGTTTTCCCTAAATCTGATTCAATGTCAGTCTCATGAGAATTACTATCATATCTTCCATGAAAAAAAAAATTTTTAGTGTGTCACTGATTTTTAGAAATACGCCCCGCGCGCTATGGATATAGCGATTGGGCCTTATATTTTGTTTTCAATAAAAAATACATTCAGTAATAGGTAAATTATTGAAATTATCGAAATTCATTGGCCAATTTCGTTCTGTTAGTGTTTGTTCGGAATATTTTCGTTTTTTAACATTTGAAATTCCGTAGGTATAGCTATACTTATCGCTGTAGAATTAATTATATTTATCAATATTTATAGATTTGACTATTTATGACTATAAATATCTGGTATTAATTATAACTATGTTAATTGTAGGCAAATAAATCGATGACAGAAAACGTTGCATGGATTTTTTTTAAAGATATCACCAATTATTGATGATACTGCACACTCAATAGAATAATTTCGACAATTAGTGCTTTCTATCACTAATAATTGGTCACAAAATCATTGAACGCCAGAATTGTGCATTTATTGAATTGCAATTGGGGGTTGATTCCTCAAAATCAGTGCCATGTCCCTGCAGAATTTTTTATTCAAAATCACCCTCAAAATTTAGCTATCGAGCAGGGTATTGGCCTTCCAAGAATTTTAATTTGCACCTCTTCAGGTAAAAATTCCACAAAAATATTGTCGCATTTACATGCTTCATTGCATTTTTCACTGTATTTTTGTCGGAAATTTCAATATAAATTCCTTTCCGTGTGGATACTTCGTAAAAAAATACCCATTGATTGAACAAGCCAAATGTCTCAAACAGTTTAATACACGCAGAGAAATCGTCTATTTCAATAAAAAAATTAATGGGTTTATTCAAACCGCTTGTAACATAGCTTTTGGTCAAGCTTAAATTTAATTTTTACTTGCGGTTCTATTCACATGAAATCAATAACTTCTTGTGTGAACATTCTAGTTTCAAGTAGAAATACAATTAAACTTTCAATTCAATGTTTCCAATTAAACATGAACATGTTGTGATTTTCTAACAACCAAATTCGTTAAAACTTCAGTTGAAATGTCACTTGCAGAAAATTCTCAGAATGGGACCCTCCAAATTCGGCCAAAAATTCCTAACCCTGTACCTAAATCCACGAACTTACATATTTCAGGACCCGCCGACGTATCGTTACACATACACCATAGGCAACGATAACGGCGTGGGACAGGGAAAGGTTGAAACCAGAAGTGGCGAATTGGCAAACGGTCGATATTACATTAATGGTGAGCAGTCATCCACGGACGTGAAATATTTTGCTGACGAGTGGGGCTATCATCCATTGGTCAAGTACAGTGCATCGACCGGCCACAGTGTGGCTAATGCGCAATTGGCCCTGGGCGAACACGTAGTAAAAGCCCTAGTTAATGGCACCAATTTCGTTAGTATATGAAACACACCCAAATCAATTTTCATTATCACAATTTTACGTTGAATGATCGAACAAAAAAAAAACATTGTTTTTTATAGGCAGATGACTCGCCGGTGATTCAACCGCCATTTCCAAATAATCCTACAATTTACCAAGCCAACAACGGCGAAGAGCAGAACGTGAAGGGAATACAGGAGGAGGAAGTGACAGAGACCCATGTCACCGAGGGAATAAATGATGCATCACTTACGACGCTGGAAGAGACCCTGATAATTGAAAATTCCGGTAGCTTCGGTCAACGTGTACCCGACACCGAGAGCAGTAGAGGTGCATCACTGAAGCAAAATGAAACTCACCACACGACACCTGGATTACCCCGGGCCTCGCAGTCAATAACCCATCACGTCTCCGCTGTAACTCCAGCCATTAGCATAAAAAATTCATCCCTAAACGACGATTCCTCGATATACAATTACAAGACTGCTCTAGAGAGTATCCGTGAGTATTTCAATGTCGACAGCAAGGAAGAAATTAACTATAAGGACCCACTCCATCTCCAACTATTTCGCCAAGAATTTACCAGCAGTCCGCTGGCCAACCAGAGTAACTCTTCCCCGGAATCTGGAGATAATTCCAACGCGCAGTTATTGGAGAAGCCGGGACCACAAGTTTCACCAAGATTCTCTAAGCCTATTGTCGTAGCTGAAGTCCCCAACTCGGAGGCATTTCAGTATAGCACAACTTTCCCCTGCAACGACCTCAATGATGAGAGCACTGGATCCATTACATCCTCAACAATTGACGAGACTATGCCACCAAGCACCACTCCTCTGAGTACTTTGTCAAGCGATACTGCTGTTTTAGTAACGCCAAAACTTTACAGTCAGTCACGTATAACCACCTCCTCAGTGATACTGAATCCAATCCAGGTTGGGGTAGCTCTGGTGAATGCCGGTGAGGCCCATCTGATATCGAGTGACACTGACCGGCAATTAAAATTCGGCGATGCCATTGAGGCGACAAATAGCGAAAAGGAGGCGTTATCATCGAAGAATATTGTAACTTCAGGTAGTGATATTGAGATATCCAATGAAGCTTACGAGGGTATAAAATCAAAATTCAATGGGCACGACGAAACGACCAATACAGACCCCAGTGTCGATCAAACGGTTGTGATACAGAAGTCACGTGAGTTATATCACAATACCCCCGTAGAGGAGATACATTATCCTGCTGAAATTGCGTCTCAGGTAGTGACCATCAATCAACTGTCTCCAGGATATCTCAATATACCCGGATACGAGAGTGCAAGGCAAGTTGAGCGAGGTAAAACTTATGCGGATATTGGTAATGGCAATTTTGGGCACCAATCGATAGCCGATAGACCTGAGTTACTGCTGCAGGAGCTTCAAACGAGTCCCGAGGGTGGTTTACATTCTCAAGCCGATCAACAGGAGAAAAATAATGCCGCCAATTTTGCGAATTCCGGAAAATCCATTGAGAATTACGTACCACCTAAGAATATTCACGGTGTAAGATCGGTGGATGAGAATGCCACTGGGGAGACAAATTTTTATACCGATACACGGATAAAACAGGATAACGTTTACTCAGCATTTGAGTTGGAAAAGTTACTGGAGAATGCACTGGTGAATGCACAGCAGACAGGTGGGACCCAAGAAGCCCTCAAAATAAGAGAAAATAATAGCCAAGATCATACAAAGTCTAGCCTCCAGAGATTGTTGGATGAAGAGAGACAGCAGAATGTGTATGCACAGGGTACACATATTATAAGTAATACAGTGCCAACGACTGAAATCGAGATGAAAGAGATTTCAAGGGAAATAGAAAAACCTACACTGCAGTATTCTTTATCCCAGGATCTTGGTAAGAGTACGATTTACATTCATGGACCAACTGAGCAAGGATTACTTCTAGATATTGGCAACTACGCCAGTCAAACAATTCGAGGAAGAGAAAATCCTTTGGAGACAGATGTATCCAATGTGAAAAAATTACAAGACCAGAATATGGCAAATGCACACAAAGATGTATCGCAAATTTATCAATTTCACGGCAACAGAATTCTCGAGAAACCTGTGACAGCACTTAAGCCATATCCAATTCCAGTTGAAAGAATCGTTGAGAAGAGAGTACCACACCCAGTTCATAAACTAGTACCTCAACTGTATCCAGTTCATATACTTCAACAATATCCAGTTGAGAAGATTTTGGAGAAGCCTGCAGCTATACCAGTTGCAGTTGAGAAGGTTGTTGAGAAGAAAGTTCATGCACCACAGCCATATTCCGTTGAAACACCAATAAAACCAGCCAACCCATTAGAACTAACAAATTACATTGAGAACTCAATTAATATACCGTACGGTGTACAGTACGGTGTTAGTTATCAGCAAATTATGAATCCACCCACTAATAATTTATACGATAATAATCCCATTGACCAGCAGATACAAACTAATGTAACCAGCCAGCAATTCCAAGGCTACTATTACGATAAACCACTTGTACCACCGGTTAATCCACGATATGCATTAACCAAACGTTATGGTTCTTTAAATCAATTATCCAATAATAAACAATCGCAGAATCAACCACAGCAACAATTGCAGCAATTCACTCACTTGATTTATCCAAAGAAAATACACTTTGCCAATCAAATGGTATTGCCATTGCATTCACGTTCAAACGATCACCAAATAACTCCACACAGACCCTTGGTTTATCGTGCTATCGATAAAGGAACCAACAAAAATGTGGAATACATAGGACCAGTGCCATTACCACAGCATGCCCTGAATCTTCATCAACAAAATCAAGTGGTACATCCGCTTCATCAAGAAACACTTCGGTACTTGGCCACTGTTGCACGATCGAATGGTGCTGGTAACTTCAGGAGAGCGAGATTGCCGGATGTACATTATCAAAGTAGAACGAGTAATTTCAGACAGTCGAAAATGGAGTATGGCTTTAAACCGCCAATGGTACCGTCCGTACAGTACGACGAACAAACAGCAACTAGAGTGGATAATTGATATACTCAATTTTTCAAAACATTAAACGTTAAAAAATTCTTTTGTACTCGTGCATTTCCTTTGTACATTTTTCACTTCCACTCTCTCTTTAATTTTGTAATTTATCTTTAGGAGCCCTGTTGTTTATTTTAAGTGGATAATAATAAATAAAGCTCATGTGTTTTTTCTGCGTGTACATGTACAGAGTGCATTCACTGTTCCCTGGATAAGGGTGAATTAAAAAACTGCTGGGAACTCCCTTTCGTATAAGTTCGCCGATGAACCCACTAAATAGATTAAAACTCTCCTTTTGGCTGTGCTGAGGAGTGCACGATAGTGGAGGTATGGTCTGTAAAGTTTTTCGATAAAAACAAACGATGACAGGGGAACGCCAAAGAGACTCCCGCCGATGTCGTTTATACCGGGCATCCACCGAGTGCAACCAACTTGGAAAACAATAATACGGGGAAAAACTTATAGACCATTAATTTAATGCCCGGTCTTTGATTGGTACTACCATTCAAGGATGATTTATATCGGGATCGGGGGACCATTTGCCGTGAATTTGGAGGGAAAACTTTGACGGTGATTCCACGGTGAAAATAATTATCAGTAATTTTGCATTTAACGTTGTATATTGTTGTAGCGCCTCTAAAAGGAAATGCGTGGGCACGTACGAGCCAACATTCACAATGAGAAATGCCGTGGTTAGAGCTGTAAATTTCCAAATCCTGCCGAGAAGTTTCATCGCCAACTCATATATACGAAACTAGGAGGAGCGAGACAGAACTGGGATTTTAGTTCCTTATCCGTGCTATTTTCCTTCGTCCTCCGTTCATTTTACGACATATGGACGAAATGAAGTTTATTACAACACGGAGGGAGTTCAGCACCTGGAAAAAAAGTACAGAGCTCCCTTGGATTACAGAGAGCCGATACATTATGGGGTTGGAGCGGGTGGGGTCGTAACTAGGACTTTCATAAACTTTATGTACCTACATTTCATTTTGTCTTTTGATCTAACTCGTAGATTACGTGGATTAATAACCCAGAGGATAATGCTGAACGCTTTTTTCACGGTTTACTTCGGATGGTTCTTTAGTACGACGGCATTATTAGGCTGTAATCAAATTAAGGTAACGGATGATGATCTTTGAATTTCATACAAAAATATCTCATTCCCATCCAGCATCGTGAATTTTCAATGGTCGCACAATCAATTGGCAGTCTAGTCACATCGTGACAATTTCATGAGATCATTATAGGAATCCAATCGTAATAAGATTATCCACAAATGTCAGCTTTATCAGGAACGATAAATTTGCCTCAAATCTTCTCGACAAGTTACGTAATGGGGAACAACTTTTGCCGGTCCAGTTAAATCGCAATAATGTGCTTACGGAGGGCTTGAGAAGAAATAACATTAGCTCGAACCGGCTTCATCTGCATCTCTTGTAGCAGTTTCTACCTAGTGCAAAATTCGATTTTGGCGGAAGTCGACTTTCCCCCGGTAAAAATCCAAGATCGGACACTTTGGCCCCGGGTGAAAAAAAAATTTTTCATTTTGATATCTATGGCGCTTTCGAGGGTTTCATTGGCATTAAAGGGGCCAATAAATACAGAATCAACATTCATTTCGCGAAAAAATTCGATTTTGGCGAAAGTCGACTTTCCTCCGGCAAAAATCCAAGATCCGACACCTTGGCCTCCGGTGAAAAAATTTTTTTTCATTTTTCACTTTTTCCACATACNGACTTTCCCCTCAAAAAAATCCAAGATCCGACACCTTGGCCTCCGGTGAAAAAATTTGTTTTCATTTTTCACTTTTTCCACATCCTTTTGATAGTTCTGAATAGCCCGCCGCTTAAATAGTTGGAATCAACGTTCACCTGGCTAAAAAATTCGATTTTGGCGAAAGTCGACTTTCCTCCGGCAAAAATCCAAGATCCGACACCTTGGCCTCCGGTGAAAAAATTTGTTTTCATTTTTCACTTTTTCCACATCCTTTTGATAGTTCTGAATAGCCCGCCGCTTAAATAGTTGGAATCAACGTTCACCTGGCTAAAAAATTCGATTTTGGCGAAAGTCGACTTTCCCCCGGTAGAAATCCAAGATCGGACACTTTGGCCCCGGGTGAAAAAAAAAAATTTTCAGTTTTCACTTCTCCCACATACTTTTGAGAGTTCTGGATAGCCCATCGCTTAAATAGTTGGAATCAACGTTCACTCGGCTAAAACATTCGATTTTGGCGAAAGTAGACTTTCCCCCGGGAAAAATCTAAGATCTGACCCTTTGGCCCCGGGTGAAAAAAAAACTTTTTCATTTCGATATTTCTGCCGCCTCCGAGGGTTGCATTGGCATCAGGCGGGTCAATAAATACAGAATCAACATTCACTTCGCGAAAAAATTCGATTTTGGCGAAAGTCGACTTTCCCCCTGGCAAAACCGAAAATCTGACCCTTTGAAAATCTGAAAAAAAAAATTTTTCAGTTTTCACTTCTCCCACATACTTTTGAGAGTTCTGGATAGCCCATCGCTTAAATAGTTGGAATCAACGTTCACTCGGCTAAAACATTCGATTTTGGTGAAAGTAGACTTTCCCCCGGGAAAAATCTAAGATCTGACACTTTGGCCCCGGGTGAAAAAAAAAATTTTTCATTTCGATATTTCTGCCGCCTCCGAGGGTTTCATTGGCATCAGACGGGTCAATAAATACAGAATCAACGTTCACTATTTTTTATTTAAACACCACATGCGAACGAAGAGATGAGGGTTGCTAAAATATATTCTGCAACCTTCTCTCCTTGTTGAGTACAAATTTCAACCCTCCGCATTGCCCCTCTACCCCCTCGTGAGATCACAAGGTCTAGGAAGCAGAGAGGAGGACTTTTCAGGGCCGAAAAGAACTGAGGATTCGAAAGGTTTTCGGAAAACTACGTCGCAGAACTGATTAGGACTCACCAGGTCAATATAGGTCTGGAGAGATCTTGAACGACCTGTGTACGTCCCATCAGAACCAACTCCTCGACTCCGGTAAATATAGCTTATCAACTATGTATGGAAAATGCTCGTAATTTTCAGAAAATGCACTTTTGAAATTATTGCACAAATCTTCCTCCAAAAGGAAACTTTTTAATTATGTTTTCTAACTGTTCAGCATCTACATTCAAATTCAAACCTGCTAAATTTAAATATAATAAAATCATTCTAAACGGTCCGGAATTTTAAGGTCAAATGGAGCTGAAGTGAAAGCTCTGATATTCGACTGCAAAAGTAGAAAAGTATTTCACTGGAGAAAAAATAGCCCAAGTACTTAGATATCCTTAAATTCAATTTAGTATCGAATCATTGGTAGAAGTTCTTAGAAGACAATTCACCGAATTCTAAATTGAGCAATGAGTCAAGTAATGGATCTCATTTCTAATTCACATAAAAAAATTTTAATCGTCATATAATCAAATAATAGTTACCGGAATTTCCCTTCCAGAATGAGAGATTGCCTCTTGAATAGTGGAAGAACCGAGAATTACACAAAATAGAATTCAACCGTCATAAAACAATCCACGAATGTTAATTTCATTATTATCATCAACGAATTAGCCGCAAATTTACACGATAAATTGAATAACGGGAGCGATTTTTGCTGACCCAGTTGAATTACGATAATGCTGTTACCGAGAGCTTCCGAGAATAGCAATAGCATTATCTCCGACTAGCTACAGCTGCATCCTTTAAATACATTCCTCATCCGCAAACGCTTACAATGTACTTATCTATTTAGAGCTCTTCCGATGAAATCATGCAACAGTTCTCTCCCGGAAGAGTAAAACTCGGCATTTCCCTCACTTTTTCATCTTGGGTGAACCTCTTCAACTGACATAATAGCCATTTCAGCTTTTCAAATTTTCTAGCAACGATTGTGGAAAAATATTCAGTCTGACCCAACACTCGTATCACTACTGCGTGGTAATGGTAGAGTACTGTATTCACCGACACTCCAGTGTCTACATTTTGTTAGTAAAAAGAATAAAAGAGAGCCAACAAAGTTTTTTTTCCACCGGGCTTTTAAACCTTCAGTTTCCCCGGCGTACAATTTTTTTTCCCCCTCATTTTAGGCGGTTGGGGTAGAGTCGGCTACCATTATGAGATAATCAGTGGGGCAAAACGATGTCCGGGGGATTAAAAGCCCATTAGGGCCCAGGGGTAAGTAACTCACTGATATATTTTTAGCCAACCCATCCCCCCGTGGCCCTCCGCAAATGAACCACAACAGCGCTCGGTGACCTCCAGCCAAACACGCTTCCACACTCCCATCCACTTGTTTTCCACAAATAATCGCCGACCTGCGGCTTCTCTCCTCTGGCTTTTTGCTAAAATGAATGGGGGAAAAAAAGAAGTCAAAATTAAGGATGGGGAGAAAAAGTGCGGTGAAAAAGGAGGGGAAAAAATACGGGAGCGATAGAGATTGCGCCGGCAACACATGCCACACACACGTTTTCTAATGCTGTGTGTATCGGTTTGATGGTTCGTTGGAAGGCCTCTCTTGCGTGTGTATCCAAACGTTTATTACGCCTCGGTGAATTAAGTCCGGAAAGCTCAACATACGCGCTGATCTTCTGGCTTTTTTCCTCCCCTTTTTTATTTCTGGTTCAACCCCGGAGATAAGCGACGTAACACGGGGAATGGGAGAAAAGGGAAATAGTAGATTGTGTAAAAGATAAAAAAATTCTAAGCGGATGAATGGCGATGTACATCAGGCTAGTATTAAGGACTGAATTAATTGTGAAGCTAAATACCGCGGTGGGTGACATTAATGAAACAGCACGTTTGCGCAATGTTTGCAAGAGTGACAATGTGGAATTGAAAGTCAATTCGATGGCATTAAGGGGACGCTCCGGTGGGTTTTGAAGATCGCGGGGTATTGAAATCAGGATCGTGTGTTTCCCCTATATTTAGTATATTCAAAAATTCATCATTAGTGTGAAATTAATGAAGGGAAAAAAAGTTTTGATTTTCAGCCACATGTCACTGATTTCCTGGAACATTTCAGTGATTTTCAACAATCTATCACTAATTATTGGTGATACGGTGTTAGAAATTTTTGGAAATTTCATGGAAAATAAGGGAGTAATTCTCATGAGAGTGACATCGAATTTTCAGGGATCAATTGGACTGAAAAATCAAGCATTTTATTGATTTTCAAATCATCCAACAAGAAAATAATGGAAGATTTGATTTTTCAGTGATAAGATTTCCTGAAGTTTCAGTGCAAATTAAACATGACAAAAATTTCAGGGCATTGACACGGAAAATTCAGATGAAAATTTTTAACTGTGTACTGTATACTGACTAGAATGCTCATTATCTGTAATTTTCTCCCTAAAATTTGGAGGTAGATTACTAAAAGTTAGTGAAAAGTCGCTGAAAATTAGTTTTGTTTACATGAAATAATCGTCTGAACATACGCAATAATTCAAAATCAAAGTATCAGGGCATTCACATTAATTAAGATTTTCAACGTCGAAAAAATGATTTGTAATAATTTTTCTGCATATATTTTGAAAAAATAGTCTCTCTCAAAATTGAGTACACTGGATTATTTTTTCGATAATATCAATTCAAGCTTCTACACGGCTTAGGCACAATAAATAATGGTTTTTTTCTCACTAATGATCGTTTTTTGCACACATGACACACTCGGGAAACATGGAGATCCTCGCTTCAATCACCCGCGCTGTTGAAAACTCATCGCAGTCGCCCACCGAAAAAATGATGGGATCATAGTGAAAACAGACCGAGTTATCAAAAACTTTTCACCGAAAGTGACTCTCACATAATAAAAAAAAAATGAAAAGATAGGAAAGTTGTTGAACGGCCGCCAGGTGGCAATGAACTTGAGTTATGCGAGTGTGATACTGAGCGGCTAAAATATCAGTGGGCATGCTTATGCCACTGCGCGAAACGAGGTCAGTTTGAGAACTGGAAAGAGTGTTTCTTGATTTTTATAACCACTCTCCCGGTTCGTTTCATGCAGCGATTTGTGTGCGCGTGTGTGACAATCTCACTTTTATTGCCATCATCTGTATAGCTCCTGAATATCCCCTTTGGAATCATATTCGTCCTCTCTCATTTCCTACATTTTTTATTACTACGACCATGAAAGAATATTTTATCTTCGCTCATTACAAGTTTTTTTATGAAATCGTACAGTTCCATTTATTTTCCAATTTCACTGAATTTTGATGAAATGTTTTTCACGGAGCAACGGCGACTTCAGACGAGTAACGAGACATTTTAATTGAAAAATTAAGTGGTAGGTGAAAAAAAGGCCTTGTACATCCTCATTGAGGCTTTAATAAAATAATGTCAACGGAGGCGTATGCATTAACAGACTCTATATAGGAAGCCAGGTATCTCCAGAAGTGAAAATAAGATGCAAACGCGCAAAAAGTGAATGAAGGCCTGTATAAATTAACGCCCCACAGCGCCGATTATTTTTTTAATCCTCTTACCCTCCCTCATGACTCTGTCCATGAAAACTTTTAAATTGCCAAAGTTAGTTACCGGGTTATATGCACTCGTGATAGAAAAAAAAATTGAAAAAATGATAGAACAATGATCGACTCCGAAACTCACGATTTCATTAAAACAATATCTCTCCCCGGCAGCTTGATGTGCGGGAAAATTAATAAAGCATTCATAATAAAAAATAAACTCCGCATAGTGAGATGAAAAAGAAGCAATGAGCGGGCGAAGAATGAAACAAAACATTGAGGATGAGAAAAAACGATGTGAAATGGTGAACGTGAAATTCAAAATTTGCATGTACAAAACGCATTTTAACGGACACACTCGCATTCATCATGGAGGGATTACCATTGCAAATAAAATAAGCAGCGCAAAGGTGCATAAATATTTATGGGTTAGAAGGGTCTGTGTTTTCTCTGAGTTGAAGATGCTCACGGTATCACCGACTGCTCACTAAAACTTCCAAACTGGCAGTGTAATCCCCCTCCCTCTGCCACTTAATGACGGCAGAGGATATGGAGATAGTGGATGAAAGAGAAATCTTTCCTTTTCCCCCTCCCAGTACTTATCCCACCAAAGTTAGTACCTTTTGGGAGATTCATTTTTCTACTTTCGTTTTGGATCAACTGGTCCAGTGGTCATTACATGTCCACCGAAGGTTGAGGCCATACCGGAACCACATGTCCGTATTGTGTTAATTAACTCAACATGTTCGTAAACAAGGTGAGTAAACTATTCCACATTTTCCGTGTATTGAAATTTAGTGACTAATTCCCGGAAATTAGAGATGAGTCCGTGAAAATCAACGATATTACTCTGAAAATTAGTGATAATGTCAATATCAATTGGTAACAAAATCACTGAATTTCACTTGCACTGGAAAAAAAATTACTTTTCCAATTAATTATTTTCTTGGGAGAAGAATTTTTTTTAGGAGCGTATTTCTTCGGGGCAGTCATTCCCAGGTTCTCCAAGTCCATCTCCAACTATTACAATTGTATTGAATTATGGGATGATTATGCCACACATGACATTATTGCAAATTATTTTACGCGAGAAAATCTCATATTTGGAAAAATCGAAAAATAATGACGGGTGTTCATTCAAGGTCATATGTGGCATAATAATCTCAAAATTCGACATAATTGTAATATTTGGAGATGGCCTTGGACCACCTGGGAATGACTGGTCTGAAGGAATAAGAAAATAATTCCTTGGCAAAATTAATTTTTTCTCTGAACGTGGGTATAATTTCCTGAAAATCCGGGACGTGGCCCTGAAAATCAAAACTTTTTCTCCTCTGTCATGGCAACCTATGCATTTTTCAAATTTTATATTTTATTACATTTTTCTTCGAACCATTATTACCCCCATCATCGAAAAACGTCAAAGGTTTTATTCAACTAACTTTATTTCCAGCCAAATTGTATTTTTCTCTCAGTGAATTTGGTGGAGAGCGCATTCTATTGAATTAAAAAAACCTCAAGACTCATAATTTCTCGCCTCACATGCACAATTCACCTCTGCTATGACCTAACACTGCTGTATGATTACAGGTGACTCTATATCTGATGCTAGCAATTCAAAGCTACAGAATCTCCGTTCTGTGTGACCCACTGGTCTCACCGAGCTACGTGAAACAAGCAGCTTCTAATCAGGCATCCACTAACGAACGCTTTCGTTCAACTAGTTCGTATGACAGTACGCCGACAGAATACGTAAATGACAATGAAAAGTACGACTTCACGAGGATGAAAATAATCCATAAAATTAAATCGTCAGTTCCCATCAGTGTGCTGAAGGATCCAACACTAATTGAAAAGAAGACCATGGAAATAAAGGGACGTCCTGATTACAATTCCATGATAAGAGAAAATAGTGATTCAGACAGGAACCACGAGACGAGGCAAGCTTCAAATTCTGATCAGCACGAGAAATTTTTTACCGAGTTCAGAGGGTCTGGAAAATGCGGGGAGAAGTGCCAGGTCAAACAGGCATCAGTGGAACCGAGTGTACTCATCACCCGGAATGACGCTCCCACATCATATCGATCTGCATTAAAGAGGATGACGCATCATCACATTTTGAGGGATAAAAGAGGAGAAAAAGTGGTGAATTCCAAGTTGACGGGTATCTTTAATAATCCACCATCGTCAAGTATAATTGGCCCAGTTCCACTGACATCTCCCACGCTAGACGCTGCGACTCCTACGAACAAATCAAGCATTGTGAGCACCCTGAATCATAGAGTTCGTCGCCAGCTTCGATATATCCCTGTCCCAAGGTATGGATTGAATAATCCAAAATCTCACAGATTACCACCACCAGAAGTCAATGAATCCATAAAAAACAAACGTCTTCCAAACCCAGATCCAGGATTCATCCACAGTTTATTGGGTGTCTTCGATCAGCCTCACCCTGTACTTGCTCCCAATGTTCGCCCCATTAAACCCGATGAAGTCATAATAACACCACCGCGATACATCGACGATGCTAAAATATTACCACAAGGATTACCACCAACGTCATCTCCCAACACAACACCCGAGGACACTCTGTTCGTGAAAAATACGGTACGAAATCCCAGCGGATTTGGTGAAAGTGAGCGTGTGCTCACAACAGGTGAGAGTTTTTTCTCCTCCTCTTCTTCCTCTCTTCTTCATCCAAGTCTTTTCAGTTTCTTGAAAAAAAAACCCTTCATCTCACTCTTTTTACTCATACACACTGCTCCTCTTTTCAGACGTGATAGGCAAAAAGAAACACACACTCATTATTCACGATCACTTTTTGCCAACGGTGAGGCCCCATACAATTCGAAAAATACCATCTCACCATATTCACTACTACGACAATACCAGAGAGGAAGAGTATCCCAAGAATCATCGAATTCCATCGAGTTCAAAATCAATGGTATCAGCAACCAAGAATCGTTACCACGAAACACCAGACCAACGTGAAAGTTATAAGCACCACGGCAAAGACACGAAATACGTGAGTAAACTTTGGATAATTAATTAGTCTCTTCCATCAGGTTGAAAACCGACGAAAATTCTCCCTGACGAATCGATTTATACGAGTTGGGTTAAACGGTAGAGCGATGGCCCTGAGGGTCTATTGTACAGGTACAGGTGGGTGTGCCACGGGGCGGCGAAGGGCATGGGGGAGGGGGAGAGACGCGTGCTCAGTGCACATTTAACTTACGACCAAGAGCTTACGTGTCTGGAGACGCGAAGCAGCGGGTGGCAGTGCACAATGTACACGGGGGTATAGACCAGCAAACTGTGTGGGGGCTATAGAGGGACGGGAGGGCGGGAGGGAGGGAGTGTTGAGGTGAGGGAAGGAGAGACTTTAGAAGGGGGATCTCTTGCCTGGCCACCCGTTGCAACATCGCCCGACCCACTTAGCCTTATCCAACTTCGCTGATCCGACAAGAACATATGCGCGCCGGAACTGGCACGAAACTCTGCCAGGAATTGTTCAATGGATCGCACTTTGCACCACTCCTGGCCTCATCACGAGACCTCCAACAACACTGTGCCGCATGTGTCTTCTCTTACCCCTGACTAGCTACCCTCAGCTTCGTTAACTACATTTCCTCCTTCCTTCTGTTCGTCTCGTTTCTTTTTCCTCGAGTCTTTTTGGTCTTATAAATTTTTTATCATCAAACATGCAATAACTAGCACTCAGTGAGTACAAAAACTAGGAGTGCACTCGTCTCCACAGTGCTCCAATAGATTTCGAAAAGTCAAACAAGCTCTGAGTAAACTACGTAAAACTTTTCACATTGACTGGCCATTTTTATTTCTCTGTTTATGTTTTATGAGAATTTTCAATTCTGTTTGTTCTATTACAGGATCGTTATGCCGGGAAGTATGCCTTTGAGTATCATGTGGCGGATGTGTATTCTGCCAACGACTTCGGTCATCAGGAGACTCGTAATGAGTACCTAACTAAGGGCAACTACCATGTTCGTTTGCCTGATGGTAGGCTGCAAAAAGTGAGCTATCATGTTGACGAGGGAGGTTACCATGCCAATGTGTCATACGAACCAAACAACCAGTATTATTACGTATAATACCAGAGTGACTAGTAAATATTCCATCAGTGAAGGTGCCTCATTAAAAAAATCACCACAAAAAGAAACCCACAGCCGGTCAGAAACACATGAACTGTACATAAAATGAAAAAACAAGAGCGAAAGTGAATAACTAGTGTAGGAAGAGTGTATCATCATCTTTCGCAATTTTTCGCATATATCGTGAGAAAAGAGGGCACGAGTTGTACATCAAGTTGCGTTTGCGCAAATCTCGGTGAATTCACTCATGCCCCCTATTCAGGCTCAATCATTAAAGTATTATTATATTATAGAAACGTTTCATCCTTTCTTTTTTTTCATCCTCTCCAACTCTGTGTGTGTACCTGTGGGAAGGCCACACTGACGCGCGCACCTCGCGTCCAATTACTTTCGATGATTATTCGTATTTCCTTCATTCCATTGAATTCTCTTACTCATTTTTCCTCAATTTCATTTAGTTGTGCTCCCGAGATGAAACGGTTGCTGGGCACATAATGCGATATAAAACCGGGGAAAATCAGTGTCTTGGAAGGAACACACCGAGGGAAAAGGGGAGGGGGAAAATATTATGAAACAAAGTTTGCTCCATACACGCTATCCTCTCCTGTAACTGGAGAAATCAGTTAACAGATGCATCGCGTGTTAGGCATCCAAATGGTCGGCGCGTCAGCTTAGCTTCACTTATACTATCATCCACTTTTGCATGTAGCCTCCCATCACTCTCTCGTCTCGCCGCATACAGCAAACAGTTTATTAATCCAATGAGCAGGACCACCCCTGTGTAAATTTCCTCATTCCAAAAACTAACTTACACACTGAAATCCCAGAGGTATATGCGGATATACGATTTGTGTACACAGGCAAGCCATACTCAAGTGAATTAATTAGATCTCCATGAGGTCCTTACTTCAAACAGATTATTATTATGATCAGTTAAGGCCCGCACGTTTCTCTGATTGTCCGAGGCATGCGGGGCGAGAGGCATGACGAGGGGGCTTGTACATGCCCGTGCACGACCGGAACTTGGGCAATTTATAAAGTGCCACAGGCCTGGACTTGGAAAAGTTTTAATGGACTGACACATCTGAGATGCAATCTTGTTTGTTCTTACAGTTTGCACCCACAGTTGAGTTTATAATACGCAGGGCTGTTTCAAAAACTCGAACTTTCTTCTCACTCCATTCATTTTATTGTGTTTTGTATTTACTTTTGCTCCGGTCGATGCTCAGAGCTGCGACGAATTGAGGAATGGGGAGGACTGTTGATTGATTGTACTTGGGGGAGTTGAGGCATTGGGTGCGTGAAGTGGAAGTGCAGTAAAAATTAACAGAACGCGGATGGTAAACATGTAAACAGTTTTCACTCGTTCCCAAATTAAATCGTAAAAATACGTTTTAGTTTGGGAACGAGCGAAAAATGTAAAAATGTAAAAATACGGTTTAATTTGGGAACGAGTGAAAAATGCAGCAGAAATAATCGATTTTCCGCTTTCATTATGAAAAACTGATTGCACTGTACGCGGAGAGTAAAGTTCAGAGATATGTACGATTGAGATAATCAGAGTGCGACCTGGATTTCAGAAATTTTTATTCAAAGTCAGGGAAAAAATGTGAGCCACGAATAAATTTTGTTCGATCATTTTTACTTATAGCTTCGGAACAGTTTTAATAAGACACGAGACCGTGGAGTGCCCTGCGCGCACTGTGTGACGAATTTGTATTTAAATTTTTCGGGTGAGAACTAACCTAGTTCATGCCTATGCGATTAACCAATGAGGAATCAGTCTTACGAATTTCGAGATATTTCGACTCTAACGATGTTCATTTATGTGTATGACCTTTCATAAATAGGATTCCTATTTATTTTGGAGTATCTTGCGCGCTCCGCACTGTATAAATATAGCCATTGGCCCTTATATTTTTTTTCTACAGAAAAAACATTTATTCCTCACGAAATGCATTGTATATCCCTGGTGTTGTAATGGGTAAATTATTAAAATTAACAAAATTCATTAGCCAATTTCAGATTGTAGAAATTGTTGTAATTGTATTGTTGAAAAAAAATACATAACCTTTTTTTAGTGTTTGTTCACAATATTTTTGTTTTTTAACACTTCCAATTCCATAACTATAGCTATACAATAATTTTAGCTATCGGTATTATCCACAAATATTTATACCTATACACTATACCTATACATATTTATTGCTGAAGTTATGAATAGTTATAGTTATGTATAACTATTTATAACTATAGCTATCTATAAATATAGTTATGGCTATATTAATACCTATGAATAGAGTTCAATTATAGCGGAATAGATCGGCAACAGAAAGCGTTGGATAGATTTTTTTAAAAGGGATTGTATCACAAAAAAATTGCGACCGACCATCGCCCGATGTAAATTTCATATGTAACATATTGATTGCAGAATGAAGAAGACAACAGGAAAAAAAAATTAGCTAATTGCAAAATCCTTTAATTGAATAGGAGAAGTAATAAGCTACTCTACATTGTCATGAATGGAGCGAGTGTGAAACAATGCGAGGGATATGGAGACGGTGACAATAGTAGGCAGCTGTTATTGTAACTATTGTAATGAAGAGATGTTATTGGGAATAAGTAATACCTCTCTAAGCGTTATTAGCATGTCCAGCTGTACGAATGATTCTCAAGTTTGCCAAAAGGGTTTGCTGTGGGTACTAGCATCGGGTTTTGATATTGGACATGCGCTTGTGGTAGACGTCGAAAATACGATGGTCCAGTTTACCAAGAGCGAAAGTTGTCGTCAATTTCCAGATTCTGTCTGTGATGGTTTCTATTTGGATACGTTCGTATAGTAATACTCATTTAATTGTGAGAAGCTTTCTTTTAATAAATACATCATAAAAATGGATGATACATAAAAAAAAGTCAATCAATAATACAGATGAATAATGAGTGAAAAATTAATGAATAATTTTGAATTTTTGATCAATTTACTTTCACTTCTCAAAATGAAAAATAAGAAAAATACTATGACTCCGTTTTTTAGAAAACTGAATGATTTTCAAATGCGATTCATGAAAGTTTATGATGAATGAAAATGTAAGAAGAATTGATCCATTGCGGGCATGATAAGCGTAATAAAATTAACAATTATGACGTGAAGAATAATTTGTAAGTTTGAAGAACTCGAAAATACCGCGATCTCGATATATATCGATATAAATACCTTCACGGAACTTTCATCTTTCGAAGATAGAATTCCTATTTCTGACTGTAAATTGTTATATCCCACTGTAGATAATGAATTCAGGAATAAAATTTCAAGAAAAGGTAAAAATGTGTCAAATTAAAATAACGCCATTAGATCTCTCTGATTGGTGCAATTCAAAGGTGAACATCCATCGGAAAAGCTGATTGTGTCTTTTCCCGGAGCAGTGCGATTCGACTGAAACCGCAAGGGTCAAGAGCTCTGTGTGACACCAGCAAAGATTATATCTGGAGGATCTCGGGGTCCGCCGAAGTCGACGGAAGCATGTGTGAATTGCCCTCTTCACCGACAATCAACTGCGAAAGATTTGAAGTCACACAAGGGCGATGCAGTTTAATGCTAACTTCCGAATTATTGTTGGCAGTTAACCCACTTGGAATGAAATGGCAAAAGTCCTGCGGGTCTCAGCGTTAGCCATTTGACAAATACCCAGTGACTTCTGCCGATTCAGTAACAATCATCTCACACAGTTTTAGCTGGCCCCTTCGGTTTGAAGCGGGCGGTGAATCGATCCCGACGAAAGGTGGATGAACCGCACTGGGCAATAATCTTAAAGGGAATGTGCTGATTTTCAAAGACTGCGGGTAGAATTTTTCCCCCCTGGTGCTTTAAACCAAGTGGCTATTAGACGAATATGGCCCTTTTTACAGCAATTAATGTAATTGAACGAGCAAAGCTCACGCTCTAAACCGCATCCATGGGGATAAGTACACGCACGTATATAAGTTTCACTTTCTCCTCGTGTGTTGGCTCTCCCACTGGCTGAAGCGAACCGATTAACTCGGTGAATCGCCCTATCTGTACAGTGCGATACCTATCTCGTTTAAATTTGACGGTGCTCTGACTCTTCAAAACCCGGTTAACCTCCTGTTTTCTCCTGTTGCCGTCTCTTCTGCTCACCCTATCCCGCATTATTGCACAAATGGCAATTTCGTAACAGCGCGTAACAACCGCTAAGGGCCCGCGCCGGTATACTACTCCAGTGACCGAGATATACAGCACAATCCGTTTAATGCTCCACGGTGTAATCAGCATAATTTGCTATCAACGGTTTTCAAATAACCGAAGCATTGCCAATTTTTCAAGATGATGCCGACATAACCGGCGCATGATGAAATTATTATTCTCACTTAGGTGCACTAATAAAAAAAAGTAACACGCACTCAACCATTGTTTCTCCATATATTACATTGGAATTCTCACGTCTTTATGGGAGATGACGCCTTGATGGTCTAACCATCGTGCAACGTCATCCAATCAGGGATACGCAAATTATATTGTTATTAAAAATCTACTTCTTATCCATTAACAGTCATCACAGTAAATTGAAAAAGAAGAGAAATAAAAAGAAAAAATAGAGGTTCCAACTCTTCCCCATTTACCAACTTTGCGGACATCAGTGTCCGTCATCAGGGCGTTAATTTATTCGACCTAAAAAAAATTGGGTTAAAAAAAAATTAAATGTATCACAAATTGTGTTATTACCAAAGCTATTCTACATTGAACAATTTGGTGTAGTCTATAGTAAAATAAAAAGTTATATTATTCTTAATTTCTAACATTGCATTTAATATCATATTCAATAATATTACCCAGTAGGGGAGGATGGGGCAAAACGGCCCCCCTTCAATCGTCAATATTTTCCGATTCAATAATCCGATTGGGATGAGTTAGAGCTCGTTTTGAAGAATGAAAAATTATCTTCAAACTGAAGTTGGAACTGGGAATTTTCACAATGTCATTCACAAGTTATTGACAATTGAAGGGGGGCCGTTTTGCCCCACCCTCCCCTACTTTAGTAACAAATAAACATTTTAAATCATTTTTCATTTTTTCAACTTCAATGACGAATGATATTTTAATGGTATTTTTTAATTCTTTAACAATTAGTAATATATTCAGAATAATCTCTTGCTGCTGCTGGATTTTCTGACAATTTTTAACATCACCACTGAAATGATATTCTCTGCGGCTCCCCGGACCAAATATAGAAACCACATCAAATGTCACTGGGCTCCTCAACGTCACACTGTCCCTTTCATCCCCCCTCATTTCCTAGACGTCTCAATACATATTATCGACAAGAGGAGCCCCAGCGAGGATAAGCCTGCCGAAATCAGACGCAAACGCACTTGACATGTGCATAATTCAGCCTGTAACATATATAGTCACCTAATTAACGGGTACCGAAGCGTCTCAAGACCGGCGTATGCCGCAAATAGAGAGGGGCATGAACAAGACACTGAGGGAGGAGGAGGAGTAGAGTAGATAGACAGAGTACCCGGGAGGGGCTGGGCTTAATTAAGTTTCAATTACCTAATTAGTTTCGACGGAGAAGAGAGAGAAAAAAAAAGAAGATAGGAGACAGTAAATCGGAGGGAGATGGAGAGAAAGAAAAGAGGATTTTTAACAAAATAAAAGAAAAACGAGGAGAGAAGAAGCCGCGTACAAATATTGCATGAGCATCTCCCACGCTGTGAAGTAACTAGCTTTCTCCGTATAGAAGCGAACCAGATATGCCTCCTCTCCATCAAGCGTTCTCGTATTCGTGTGCGACTGGCCGCGACGAGACTGCTCGTCCCTCCCGAAATCAACGGAGAGACGCGAGCGCGTGTGAAACAATGGAGCGAAATAAAGCGTGGGCTTTCCTCACTGTGAGGACGTATTGCCCCCTTCCCACCCCCTTGCCCAGTCCTCCATTCACTCTCTCTGTTTACTTTGTACATCTCACAGTCCAAATCACCTCCTTTGCCTCAATTTCTTCTATCCTCCCTGCTCCCGAGGACTCTGTGTGAAAATCAACAATGATGCATGTTTATTCACTCCTGCACGCGCACACGACTGATCCCCCTCTGATGTCTCTCCCCTCCCCCATTGCCATTTCTATCTCACTCTCCCCCGCTGTTTTTTGCTTCACCACCATAGTGCAGCACGCGTGTGGCGTATAGGCGCGCGCAAAACCACAGGAAGCTGAGTTACACGTGGAAGTAAGTCGGGCACGTATAAAAGGAACATCAAGAGCCAGAGTATCTTCACAATTCAACTTTAATTCAGTGCCGATTGGTACTAATATCAAAAATGTACACCTCAGTGACCCAGGTATTGAGCGAGTTTCCGTCCAACATTCAAGTATTTTAAAGTGAATAAATTCAGTCGAGTGATGAGTCTGTGAATAAATTGTGGAGTCAGAATTTCAAGTTTTTTCTTTTCTCTTCACTTTCACAATTGGAGTTATTCTGTTTCCATCCCCTGTTAAGTGAATGAAAAACCGGGGATTATTGAATACTCAATGAGTCATAATGTAACGGTGCAAGTAGATCAGCCCCATTAATTCACCCCCGTTGCCTCTATGTGCTGCAGATAATGCTGACGTTGATGGTGAGTCTAGGGGTGGTTTATGGCGAACCACCGCTGAGCAACCAGTATGGCGTTCCTGCGAATTTGCCGGTAAGCAACAATCAAGTATCCCACGGAGGCGTAACAAATAGCTATGGTGCACCACTGGGATCGGACGGCCATCACGACGAGCATCAGGATTACATCGACAGTCAGGTATAACAACAAACCATTTCGATGGCGTTTCATAGCGAGACCAATCTGTGAGATGAATGAGAATGGATTTCCAACTGTACTAAACCGGTAGATCTGTTTTCTACTTCTCCCCGTCTCCCTCGTCGTTCACCCTTCAAGTTATAGCTCAGTCCTGGCATACGATAATTGCTTTATGCAATCGGTAAATAATGGTATTAATGGCGAATGAATTATTGATGAGCCCGTATAAACATGCAGCCCAATCGCTTCGGCTATCGAAAATGAATTAACGCCAAATTGACGTATCTAATCCGCTTCCCCCCCCCCCCCCAATTTNTGAATTATTGATGAGCCCGTATAAACATGCAGCCCAATCGCTTCGGCTATCGAAAATGAATTAACGCCAAATTGACGTATCTAATCCGCTTCCCCTCACCCCCCCCCCACCAATTTGCACATTCTATGCTGAATTGAAGGAAATGACAGAACAGGAGAAATGAAAAAAACAATTCAACAGTTGTGGAGTTGATGAAAACTTTCAGCGAAAACAATCTTGAAAATGATAGTCTACTTGTATACAATATACATCTCGTTCTTCTTAATGCACAATATCCAGTTACAGCAGAAGTTGTGGCAGTTTGAAAATTTACTTTTTTCCATTGCACTGTGATTCTCATAGTGGAATTTTCCGAGTTAAGGGAAACTGGAATTTCTGCTGTTTGCAAATGAAAAAAAATGGAGCGCAGTGGGGCTTTGGGGGGAGGGAGAGAGAAGCACAGACAATGGCTTGTAACATTAGTAGTCATGACTGCTCTCCTCTCACAATAAAGGCTATCGTCGTTAAAGCTCAATCGCTTGAAATCACACTACGGGGGGAGGGAAAAACCATTGCACAATATCGCCCCCACAATGTTGAGAGTGAAAATCAATGATTCTGTATTTAAACACGCCCTTTGACGTTTTGTAACATCATGAAGGATAAAGAATTGCCAGAGAAACGATTGGAAATGAATAAAAGAGTGAAAAAAATTCCGGTGGTTCTTTTTTTTCAGCCGAAATCCTACGATTTTGGATATGCCGTTAAAGATTCCGCCACGGGAAATGACTTTGGTAGACGTGAGAGCAGTGATGGTGAAACAGTACGGGGCGAATACCGTGTACAGCTTCCGGATGGGAGGGTACAGATAGTGACGTATACGGCCGATTGGAGAACTGGCTTCCATGCGGATGTCAGATACGAGGGGGAGGCGACCTATCCAGATCAGTATAATACTGGTTATAACAATGGTTATAATAATAATAATAATAATAATAATAATGGGTATAATAATGGATACAACAACGTTAACAATTACAACAATGGGGCTGGATATAACTATAATCAGAACCAGCCGCAAGGATTCAACTACAATCAAGGAGGTAACTTTATACATTGAATAATAGAAACCATGGCATTTCCGGTGTTGACTTTTTTCCCGTTGTTTACAGAGAAAAAAACATGAAAAATTATTGTACACTGGGAAAAAATTTTTTTTGATAAGTACATCCTCACTTGTGTCAAGAAACTCATGGCCCGAATATGTTACAGTGAGAAGGATAAAACTTTCGTTAAAAGATTTTTTCCTGTCCCAAAGACGAGGATAATTTGTTTATGATAAGAAAGTGATTTGTTAAAAAGAGTCTAGGTGAATCAATTTATTGAATAGTTTTTATGTCTCAAATCGAAAATATTTTGATAGAAAAATCGCTTGATTTGTTGTGAACAAATTGCCTCTCATCTATTGGAGAAGTACTAAATCTGTTGATGAAACGGGAGAGGAAAATTGTATTTGGGGAATTTTTATTGAAATTTAAAAAATGATGAGGGGCAAAGGATAAATTTTCATCTTTGAAATGTAATTTTATTTCATGTTGCCTAGGCGGTTGTCAGCACTTCTAGATGGCTATACTAATTAATTAAACATCCTAAAGTGTTGAGGACCTGAGTTAACATACGTCCGTCCTTTTATCATGAAATATTTCAACGGTCGGCGAATCTCATCTGAATGTGATTCTTGGCAAAAAGATAAAAGACGAATAAACTTCACCGCTTTTCCGAGAATTTGCACTGTATACCATTCAGTAATTGTCTGCTGGACTTGTCCGTACGCAAGCCCACAAAAATTTTATTCATCTCTCATTACAATTTCCCATCTTGTCTGTTTCCAGGTAATTACAATACTCACAGCAACCAAGGAAACTACAACAACTACCAGTACCCATCGAACCCAGATTACAACAACTACAATAATCCCAATTCATTTGCCCCAAGACCCACGTACGGAACACCGCAATTTCACTGATAGAATTTGTCCCGAAAAATATCCACTCTGGGTAATTTGAAAAAATTGAGGTACATAAGTAGGGTCGACGATAAAGAAAAAAAAAACTGGTAAATGGACATCTTTTCTTTCCGGCAAGAGGGGCATTTGCCAATTTTACCTCAACGAGTGGAATTTCCTTTGCGAATTTCCAAGGAAAAACACACTTAAACTGTACATACTTTTAATACTCTAGAATATAAGGTGGTTACACTCAAGCGTACGTCGAGATACTGTGGTGCTTGCGGGGGTAGATATTTATAATTGTACTCTACAATTTGCGGAGTAACAATTGGGGTTATAAACTGGCTAATGCTATGTACAGATGTATCTCAACATTTTTATACTAAAAAATAAAGATACAGAATATTTATACATTTACCTAAAATGTTGATTCCCAACAGTACGAAAATACCCTCGTCTTCCTTACGAAAATGTACCGTAAACTTGGTGTTGACACGTTATTATCTGAACTGGAACGTCATACCTGACAACGAATATTATTCAACCGCACATACACTTTAATGGTCCGAGGAAAAGGGGAGCGAACGTGAAGGCTCACATGAAGAATGCTAAGTGGTCTGGAGTGCATCACGTCCGCCCTGCTAGCACTTTTCCCCGTGGGTTTGTTGTTGTTATTGCTGTTGCATACGTTTTGGCATCATTAAATAGGAAGGATAGTTACACCGGAACACAAATTCATATCCACGGAAAAAAAATATACCAACGAAATAGCAACTGCTGCAGTTTAAATCTTATCTCCCCGAGTCCAGTCAGTTTTCCGTATACACTCGACCCCAGTGTTTCCCAGAATGATAACAAGGTGAACGTGAATATATCCATAGCCGTATTAGAAATGCCGAGTGGCAAACTATATGTCCCTTCAGACTCCTCTGGGCGAGGCGCTGTATCACATAAATGCGCCTCCAACTCCTGATGCTCTCACTGGAGAGAGCACGGATGCAATTTATTGCTGCTCCGCAAACCCGTATAATATCCCTGGTAATACAACTGGCCATCCAAGTGGGTTTTCGTGGTCGTGGGAGCGTGCGAAGGGTCACCAAAGGTGCCTCAACCCCTGACAACCCCCCGATCCCCCCTCTTATGAGCCTTACATATACCATGGTGTCTTGCACTCCAGACACATGTGAAAATAATTCCATTTTACCCTGCAACAGCATCCACTGACACACGTAATATATATGCATGGATTTACACACCTTGATGGTGTTTTTCTTTTTGCTCTCAAGACCGAGAAGGGGAGAATGAAAATTCGCGGTCTGTTTCACGCTTCTGCCAACGAATTTGCCAACGTCGAAATCGCAATTTTAAATTCATGAGGTGAGCGCGTCAATTCTCCCTGTGGTACCCTCTTCACTATTCCTCACTATTTCTCCTTCTCCTGTCCCGCATTCTCACTGTTATGTACCCCTCCCTCTTTACCACCCCTCCGCAACGCCAAATGAAATGTGGTCTTTTCCACGCTCCACCACTGGAATTGATTTCCAACTGGTTCAATTGAGCTCAATAACCGTGCAGAGATATATTTCATGAGAAAATTGAATTCAAATAAAAGAATACATTCAAATGAAATATTGATTGGAGTTTCGTAGGTTTTTCTCTGTTCATTCTTTTCCTCGTTCTTGTGCCCCATTGTGCATCTCTGAAAAAGTAGTGCACGGGGTTGGCGAATGATTTCTGGGTAATTTCTGAACGTCTAGCATGTAACGGTGTGCAGTGGTGCACCATCATTAATTGCACAATTGAGTCTGAATCGGTTTCTATGGCATCTAATGTGCCCCGTATCCTCGCATCATCCTCGCCTTTGATAGGTAATCCTTCTCTCTCCCCCTGGTTGCATCAATCGGTATTCGTGCTGGCCATTAAAGCGAAATTATCCGCGTTTGCGTGAACTCATTCAGTATCCACGATTATACCACTGAACGGCTCTATTTCATTTCCAAACGTGAAATTCCCGATGAACGATGAATAAATCCTGAAAACACGATAAATCAGAAAATTCATGAAAATTTCAACGTCAGTATTTACCATTAGTGAACATTGTGTGCTTTGAAGTTATTGTTTGACTCTCGGCGGCGGCGAATTAGGGAGAAATGTCGGAGAAGAAAAGGGACTCATGAAAGAGAAGAAAAGGAAAGGTAGGAGAGCGGACTAATTACGTTAGATCCACACATTCAACTCACCTGGAGAGGAGTTGTGAATCAAATGAATACCCACATCAAACATAACTGGCTTCGTTATGCCTTGAAATTTCTTAATATTCTGCTCTCCGTCATGTGAATGTACGTCTTTGATGTCAATATTAAAAGGAGAATGTGGCATTTCTCGGGAATCTCAATGGAGATTCTAATGAGCACGTGACATTTATTATTTCGAGTACTATCTCTCATTTCCGTTTCGCCGCACAATGGGTATTAAATAATCTCGCCAGTATCCGGGGGATGGAGAAAAGCTCATGAGTGATATCGATCATTACTGAATTGCTGTTATCCCCTGCAAGCCTAATCTAATGAGGCCTTCAACCCCGAATCAAGGGAATCAAATTGGAAACCGTAAGCAGTAGTGATCCTCCTAGTCTCTCTCTCTCTCTCTCTCTCTCCCCCCCCCCCCCCCCCNATGGTTGGGGGGGATTCATCATTCAGGTAATCTCGCCAAAATGGTTGAAGAGGAATAGATGTGAATAGAAACTCAAAATTCGTAATATCTCTTTGGAAATGAAAGTCACTGATGCGAAATTTTCGGTGAACATCTGACAGAATCTGGTGCATTCACGAAGATGATTCGTTCTAATTAGCCGGTGATCCCACGGAGTTTTGAACCGGGGAATATCTATACCGGCGATAAGCACTCCAAAATGCTTTATCTTCGGTGCAGCATCCATCATAATTGCTTTTAAGCATTCAACTCGCTCGGCTGAACACGGAAAATTATCGAACCGCAGTGGGAAGTATGTGGAAGTTATACCCCACATCAACAGCAATGGTATACACAAATTTTATGAATTCAAAAAATTGACGTTGTTTGTGGACAAGGTGACAGGCTAATTCAGTAGCGAAGTGGTAAAGCGGTTTAAGTCGACTTATCTCGCAGTTCAGTTTTTGAGGAATATTTCCGAATCTAAGGGAGATAGCGAAATTTTCGTAACTACATTTATTGTAGCTCTCAATCGGCTCTAGAAAAACGGTTATAACAAAAATTTTGCTATGTCCCTTAGGTTCCGAGATATTCATTGAAAACTGGTCAATAGTCAAAATTGACTTGTATTGAACTCTTGTGTTGAATTAATACTTGGCAAACTCAACAAAAGAGTAATGAATATTTATTTTTGCAACAAATATAGGGTTTTGTAGGGCTCCAAACCAGCTACGTCACCTCCTACATAAATCCTCGCTAATGCCGAACGCTTATGGACACTGAATGTTTAACACTGTAGCTTATATATTAGTCCTTCGATGTAAAGTGCGAAGTTACAAAAAGAGAATAATAAATTTCCTGGAATTTTTCATACTTAATGATATGTTAAATTATTTTTTCTGTAAAGAAGGTATAGCGGAGGTAAAACCGTAAAATATATGGAAGACTGACGCCGCATTAACAACAATGATTTACACTAATTGTATGAATTCAAAAAATTGACGTTGTTTGTTGCCAAGGTGACAGGCTAATTAACATATGACGAGCTCAACGCAAGAGTAATGAATATTTATTTTTGGAACAAATATAGGGTTTTTAAGGGGTCCAAATCAGCTACGTCACCGTCATGAATCCTCGGTAATGCCGAACGGTAATGGACACTCAATGTCTGCCACTATATGTTATATATTGGTTCTTCGATGGAAAGTATGGAGTTACGAAAAAAAAATAATAAATTTTCTGTAATTTTTCGTACTTGATGATGTATTAAATTTCCTACAAAGACGGTAGAGCGAAGGTAAAATATATGAAAGACCGACTCCTCATTAACAACAATGATTTACGCGAATTGTATGAATTCCAAAAATTGACGTTGTTTGTGGCCAAGTTGACAGGCTAATTAACATATGACGAGCTCAACGCAAGAGTAATGAATATTTATTTTTGGAACAAATATAGGGTTTTTGAGGGGTCCAAATCAGCTACGTCACCGTCATGAATCCTCGGTAATGCCGAACGGTAATGGACACTCAATGTCTGCCACTATACGTTATATATTGGTTCTTCGATGGAAAGTATGGAGTTACGAAAAAAAAAAAAAATTTCTGTAATTTTTCGTACTTGATGATGTATTAAATTTCCTACAAAGACGGTAGAGCGAAGGTAAAATATATGAAAGACCGACTCCTCATTAACAACAATGATTTACGCAAATTGTATGAATTCCAAAAATTGATGTTGTTTGTGGCCAAGGTGACAGGCTAATTAACGCATGCTGATTCAGCACAAGAGTAATGAATATTCATTTCTGCAACAAATATAGGGTTTTTGGGTCTAAACCAGCTGCGTCACCTAACTGACATTGAATGTCTAGTACAACAGGTCATAATGATTTCTGTGTTCAAATGACCGTGCATTAAATAGTCATGAAACCGTAAAGTATAAAAAGATTGACCCTCCATTGACACCAATGGTACACAGAAATCGCATGAATTCGAAAAATTGACGTTGGTGGTTAACAATGTCGTGGCCATTACTGCATGTGTGAAAAATGTCCCTAACAAAATGACAACGGGAAAACGACTCCAACGACTTGTTAGAGTGTAACACCAACCCTCTCGTATACTTGCCGTGTCATAGCTGTGCTCGTTTACGAGCAAAAGCTCCCACCTAGCGCGGAGAGGTACTTTCAACGTGAAAAGAGAAGCTCTGTATCACCGGTGTGGTGCCCTTGCCATTCAACACACACGTACCAACTGTACCCCACACCCCCTTTTCGCGCAATGAAGGTACAGTGGTAACTAAGAGCGGAATCCACAATTACATATAGTAGGTTGCACTCGAGGATCTCCAACGAGCCGCTCGTGCCACCACAACCGTTTCCTATGCAAACGAACTGCAGCTGCGAAAAGAACCTTAAATTTTCAGACTCTGAATTCGCAAACTCGGACATTTCGGGCTTTCCATCGATCGATTAATTTTAGTGGGAAAGTCCCTCATCATATAATTGAAGAGAAAGCAGATCTTGGTGGTTTCGATTCTGCAGAACCATTTGGATTAACCTTTTTCGAAGATGCATTTGAATCATTTACGGCAATAAAAAATTCATAGGTGAAGTTACAGTGAGGTGAAATCATCGGCGACCAGTCGACATTACCAGTGAATAGAATGGAAATCATAGGATGTTCTGAGCTTTTTCAACAAATCTCTTGATAATAAATGGCTTTCATGATATATTACACGTATGAAAAAATCCTATAGGACTTCCTATAGGATTTTCTATAGGTTTTCCTATAGGACATCCTATATTCCATATATATTATTATATATTTCCTATAGGAAATCCTATGGAGGATTCGAACATTTCCTATAGGATTTTTCTGGTGGGATTCCTTATAGGATTTCCTATAGGATTTTCTATAGGATTTCCTATAGAATTCACTATAGGGTTTTCTATAGAAAGTAACACACAAAATTGAGCCTCGAAACCAATCGGTCAGAAGGGTCAGGATTAGGGTCATAAATCTGATAGGGAATCCTATAGGAAATCCTGTGGGAAATCCTATCAGAAAAATCCTATAGGGAATGTTCGAATTCTCCATAGGATTTCATCGAAAATTTTCAACACTCGTCCACTAGATTACATGACTAAAAAGAGAATCACCTCCTGATGGTGTTCCAAGTTCTGAAATAATCAGGGTGAGATTGCTGGGAGATGAATTTGAATGACATTTACACTGAGGTAAAATTATCGGAGGTCGGGTGACACTACCAGTGCATATTCCGGCTTTATTAATATTGAAAACGACGGATATTCTTACTAAAATAAATGTTTTAATCTCTCATGATTTATTAAACGTCTAGAGATAGTGAAGAGATTTTGATAGAACTCACTTTACCTCCATTAGTAATCATACCTTTATCACATCATCGAAATATTCAATTTGAAATCCAGTACGAATATAGAGTTTATCTTCTATATATATTGCTCCAAAAGAGCTCTAAAATGTCGTATCAGATCAGTTCTCAGAAAGAAATGGCTCAATCTGATATCGCATTAGTAGACTTGAAATATTGAAGAGATTTTGATAGGATTCACTTCACATTAAGTACCCTCACTGGTAACCACACTCTAATATTCACAGATCCCGCCAGATCGTCCAAAGATTCAATTTGAAATCCAATATGACCATCGAGTTTCTCTTCTGTATTTGTAAAAAAGTGCTCTAAAAATTTCTATAAAAAAATCATATGTCAGTGGGTCAAACTTTCTTCCAATATATTATTAAGTAAGTGCGATAACATTCTTTAAAGATGGATTTGAATGATTCATGACAATTAAGAATTCTCGTGCGGAGTTATACTGAGACATGATGATGACTAGTGCATATCTGGTTCTATTCATAGTGAATGAAATGAAATTGAAAGAATATTTCGAGCTTTTCCAACGCCAATTTCTCCGAAAAAAGCGTCAATCTCAAGTGCCATTAGTGGACTTGAAATATTGAAGAGATTTCGATGGAATTCATTTTACATCTGGTAGCTGCACTAATAACCACACTTCTAATGTTTACAGATCGAACCAGATTCACATAAAAAAATCATACCCCAGTGGTTCTACATTTCATAATCAATAGATTTCTGAATCGAGTATTTTCACTCTCCTCCACTATGTCGGTTTGAATCTCTCACACCAAACACAACCTGTAATTCCCATTGACGCATACAGAATCGCCCGCTGTTGTAATGCGATGGAGTGTACGTTAACACGATGTGCACGATCTTATGATGAATTCAAAATTCCCAATGGAATTCCAATAACGAACTGTAAGCGCTTTGAATGAACGGAAACGACAGGAGAAAAAGGGAAGTGAAGCCCCTCTAAACGAGATTACAGCTGAGCTAGTATTAGACCTGGGAGATCATGCGTTCTATGTAATGCGATGATCACCATAGCCATTGAATCGAGTACTTCAAATATATTTTTTGCATCTCACTGGAGTTTAATCGACCTATCGTACATACAGCAAAGAATGCAAAGAATATAAAAACTCATGAATGAAGTCAACGAATCCGACTTCATGTCGGAAATCGAATCAATCCAAGTCAAGTGCAACATGATTCGAGTAGATTTCACGTCTTATTACAACTTGCAATCTACACTGAGAAAAAACAAGAAAGGCATCGTTCGAAAATTGACAAGAAGAAAATATCTCACACTGAAAAAAATAAACCTTTCGTCAAGCGATTTTGTACTTGCCCAAAAGATGAGGGCCAATTGGTGGTTTTTGCATTAAAATATTCTGGATTTGAAACTCAACAATTATTGAATAAATTAGTCAACTAGACTTGATTTGAGAAATCACTTTCTTATCATACACAAATTTCCCTCGTCTTCGAGACAAGTACAAAATGTCTTGACCAATGTTTTTTCTTTCTCAGTGTAAGATATTTTCTTCTGTCAATTTTCAAGCCATGAATTTCTTGATGCAAGCGAAGACGTAATTGCCAAAAAAACTTTTTTTTCTCTGTGTAATTCATTAGATCATTTTTTGCGACTGGATTCACATCAGAGGAATACTTGATTTCAGAACCCATTTTTTTAATGTGCACTTTGACATCTCCTGATAAAACAAGGGTATTTCAAAATTCATGTGAAAGCTTGTTGTTCACATCCATTTCTAAGCCTCCCGGAGCTCGCAAATCATTTTATTTCCCTTCCAATGTGAACTACTTCATGTTATTTGTACTTTTTGATGCATTCATGTCATTTACACAGCTTTCAAGAGAAGGAAAACGTAAGATTTCCGACGATTTTTCACATGAGTTTTGAGTTACCCTAGTCTTAACGCGAATTTTAAGATACCCTTTTTAAAAAAAAATTGAAATACCTGTTGTTATTTTAGGAAATGTCGACTTTTGCATTATGAGAAGGGTTCTTTCCACTCAGTGTCCGGAATCACCAATAATTGATGATAGATTCCTGATCATCTCTGACATGTCCCAGTAAATCAATGAATTTTCCGAAGCCAGCGGACAAAAATGTCCCCTATTCGTCTCTCATTGTTCACCCCGATATAGTATGCAGGAGACCTATAAATGGATTTCGCTCTCCAATGATTTGATTGTTTCTTAATTTCGCACCAATTATTTTCTCTCTGTACGGAAAATAATAAAGTACTACCCGTGATTCCCCGAAATATTCAAATTTTCCATACACAATGCTTACCCATTCTACGTATTTCCGAAGAATCCAATCAGTTATCCACTGTATTAGGAATATAGTAACCGAATATCCCATAGGCACTTCGTGATCGACGTTGCTGGCCGAGAGGCACTCGAATTCGCGTGATAGGTGCGCATGAAATATTAAAACGTGGATGGATACTCTGTGCTGGAAGAATACCACGCACGCTCAATCAATTAAAATCCATATATGAAACGATCCCCAGCCACCAGCGAGGTATTTTTATATGTCGAAAATCGGTAGGGATCATCCTCAAGAGGAGTTGGATGGACCGACAAGTGAAGGGAAGATTATCGTATCGTATTTAGCCCATCCCTCAAGCTCCAACTCCAACACTGGGTTAAACTCCTCGTAATGTTATACTCACACTGTTATAACAACGGTTAAACCGGGTTTAAACTGTAACAAAGAAAAATACTGGGGATAGAGTATATAAGGATGCAAGTGAATCATCTTCATCAGTTCACTCGGACTCTCCGAAACAGCTCATCGATATGAGTAATCATCAGGTGAGTACATCACTCATTGATTATTACTTCAATGTATATCAATCGCGGAGCGCGTAACGTGAACGATTATCATTCAAGATTTTCCCTTGCCGAATAGAAACGCGGTACCGAGGGAATATTAACAATTTCAAAGGATTAACTCGGGTAATTCGAGGGCAAATTTATTGAAACTGCCGTTGGAGATAGCAAAAGTACATTTGTCATTCACTTCGTGTAACGAATTCCGATCGCGGAAGAAGCACTTGCAATCATCCTTAAAGGTTTCCAGGCTAGAAACAAGTATCTTCTCTCCATTTTGGAGAAATTGGAGAAATGCGTGACTACCCTTTCTTATTTCGTTTTCCTATATTGAGGTTGTAACGAACAAGTTTCTACCTCGCGTTTACACAATTTATAACGGTCAAGAGATAGTCTATCTCTACCTCAAATTAACCATAAACTTGGGCTTTCCTCTTTTCCCTCGTTCCTCCTAACTTGCTCTTTTTTCTCCTATTCAGTTCACCGGTTTGGTGCTGACAGTATTGTGTAGCACGACTGCACTGGGAGGACTTTTGCCGGATTCTGGAAGCAATGGTTATCAGTACAATAGACCAAACGGTGGAATTCTTGGTGAGCCAGGGAGACGTGTAGGTTATGATGCTTCCGGTAGATTCCTTCCAAGTGGAAATGGATTGGACTCCCTTGGAAGGCCAAGTGGCACTTACGGAGCCCCTGGTTTCGGTGGCTTTCCAGGACCCGTTGGGTATGCTGGTAGACCCAGTGGTGCATATCCCGGTGGATACAACGGAGCTTTTCCAGGTGGCGTTCCACCACCAGGCTACGAGGGAATTCCCGGAGCTTATCGCAACGGCTATAATGGGGACGACGGTCCAGTGAGTTTCATTTTACCTTTATTTTTTTATTATTATTATGTCGCAATTTAATTTAATTCATTGCCTGGTGGAATGCCTCCTGGCTATGGAAATTTGACTTCGAAAGCCATCCCGTTGATTCCCAATATTTTTTTCAACTGTTTTACATCACGTTGAATTTTAAACAAAATAAAAAAGCGATGAATATGATCTGATAAACGAATATTAACGATGTGTTTATCCAAGCGTGCATCGTGCACCCGTTGAACTGTGATAATTTGGTCATTCAACAAATCGTAGCACGCTGGAGGACACATTATCACGGGGATATCGGTGGTAAAAACCCTCCCCACGGGGTAGGTTTGGGAATGAATGTGAGGTAGAGAGCTGATGCCAACACAGGACAGACCAAGAGCTCTCTGTGTTCGGTGTATTGTTCCCCGGACAGCTGACAATCGCCGAGGGCTGCTTTCGAAGAGCCAGAGAACAAGGGTAGCAACAAAAATAACCATAAAGTTGCAACACCAAATCGTTTATTCTACATCTTTCCCTTTGTTTGTTTTTCGTTTGTTTCACCACCCATTTTGCTGCCTCTGTCATTTTATTTTGTTTTACGTGTATTCATTCCTTTTATATCCCTTTATGTCTCTGTATCGCAGCCGAGACCGTACAGTTTTCAATACGAGGTGCTAGATCCACCGAGCGGTAACGACTATGGTCAGCAGGAGACCAGCGACGGAAATGTCGTGAGGGGCGAATATCGAGTACTTCTACCGGACTCTAGGACTCAAATCGTAAAATATACAGCAGACGATGTGAATGGATACAACGCGGATGTTCAATACGAGGGGCAAGCTCAGTTTCCCAGACCCGGTGGTTATCAATTCAGTGGACCGCAGGGTTCTTATCAGCCGGGCATTGGATTCGCGCCTTATCAGGGTCAGTGCACTATTCTTCAATTCTAGTGGGATAACTTTACGGGGGAAAAACGTTTTAGTTTTCGGAGGTACACTCCTCATTTATAGGAAGTCGCGGTTCTCAAAGTGAACGAGTCAACCATTTTAGAATTAAGTAATAATGTTTTTTTTGTGATTCCGGGTGTAAATCCCTGCCTACAGACGTTATGATACAAAAAATTGTTCGTCACACGGCCGAAAAAACTCTTCTAGCTCATATCATTGCATAGTTATATAATTACAAACTTATCTGCGCCAGAATAGATTTTTTCGGCCTAATGACGAAATGTATTATTTCCTTCTCGTATATTCTTTGGAGTTTTTACGAATACCTCAAGCCCCTGTACTCCATTCTCCAAAGAACAAGAGAAAACCTCACTTGAGGGAATAAACTGGCCAGGTGCCGTCGTCTCTTGCGAGACTCCCGCTCGGTATGAAACCGTCAGATTTTAGAATGTCCCAAATTTTGGCCCCCCAGCCGGGAATTGAATCCGGGCCACTCAGCCACCGCCGTCAATTCTTAGAATTGAGTATTCCTGTCACTAATATTTAGCGATATAATCCTGAAAACCAGGGAAGTTCTGTTTTTTATCAAATTTCGTATTTAATGTCGGACAATTTCACTGAAACCCACTATAATTTCTCTTTCTTTAACGGAATTATCTTGTCTTCAAGATTCTGTGATTTTACAATCCCGACTTTTACGGATTTCTTCTCCAGATTTCAGTGACGAGAAACCTTGTTTATAGTGAATCATTCTATCAGTGTAACGGCATTCTATTTCTGACCAACGCGAGGATTATTCCGTGAAATAAACGTTTCAATTATCAGTGATGACCGGCTATTTTCATCACTCAATTTCCCCGAGTAACGGTAATTACTTTTAATTAATGAGGAAGTGAACTATTCTCACCCAAATTAGATTGAATCTACATTACTGAATGAACTCCTCCAGAGTAGAAATATTCCAAAGATTGAAATGCATCAAATATTACGGATAGTGATGGAATTTTACCCACTCAACCAGAATATCAAGAAATCAGAGCAATCAAACTCAAGAATGTAGAATGAGTATAAAAATATGCCCAAACCTAACCTTTCCGAAATCTCATTTGACAAATGACATTTCCGCCTCGACAAATCTTATAGAATAGATGAAAAATACGGTTGTGAAATATATTCTGCTTATCAGATTCAAGAAAATGCCCTGGTTTTTCCCAGAAATTGTCTGTTTGCCTCCGTACTACTTTATTCCTCTGATATTACAAAATGAATCCTCAAAAAACAAGTAAACCCGCTCGCTCTTCCTCCATCAAGAGAAGAAAATCACCGAAAACTCAAGAGGAAACATAAAAAATAATCTCAGGCGTACTTTATCCTCACGTGAAGTCTAATCGAACTCGAGATATCTTTTACGTTCCTTTTCATTTATAAGAGAGTAAGAAGATGAGACGTGATGGTGGGTCACGTCGAAAAGGACATGGTATCATAAATATAAATGTGATTTTATGCTGGCTGACAGGTAGGGGTGGCTACGGGGGACCGTCAGTGGGTGGATTTGGTGTTGGTGGTGCAAACGGCAACGGCATCTTTGGAGGTGGTGGCGGCGTTGGTGTAGGCACCAGTCCCAGCAATCAATACTTACCTCCGGGCGGTGGTTATGGCAAATGATCGCGCCGGCCAATTCAACTCTCCTTCCCTATCTACTTTGAAATCTCTCAACTATTCTCCACCAACTCTTTCATCGCGTACATCATTCAGTGGATTTATCCAGCTGCATACAGCTGGAAGTGAAGCAGCTCGTCGATCATCTACGGGAGATGATGCTTCGCGTGACTTGTGTAATTCTCATTATTATCGCATAGACATATTATGCATGAATACACTCTCGCTGTGTACATTCAACCATGATAATCGCTTTTACCTTTTTTTTATGCTGAACAACATCTGTATATTGCTCCCAATAAAGAAGAAATCAAAATGATAGTGTCCATTATTTATAAAAAATTAGCGACAAAATTATGTGACGCCAAGCGTATAAGTACGATTGTTCCTTCTTCCCTAATTACAGAAGACGACTATACCGCTCTCGTGGTACTTTGCTACACACTTGTGATTCCATAGTGCAAACGGGATGAGAGAGCTCCGCTAATCGTACTCGTGATAAGCCATTGCATAACAATGGAACAGTATATACATGTAACTTAATGGGAATATTCCCAGACTTCCATTTAACAAAGCGCTTGCAATGACTCTCTAGACACTGTGCAGATGTCGTGCTAAAGCAATCTTACATGTTGGAGATATTGGAGTATATGATTGCTCTCGCTGGTCGTGTATGAGGTATTCCATGGCAAATGAGCCAACGGCTGACCCTCACTCTCTTGGAAATTGGTCGCGATTTTTTCACAGCCCATTTCGGAGATACGATTTTTTCGTTTTTTTTCAATAACTTTAATTCTATTCATCCGATTTTGATTTATGACACCATCTATAAGAATATTTTGAGTATTTTTTTTCCATCCCTAAGTGCTCATAACAACAAATTTTTGAAAAAAAAGTTGAAAAACTTGAATTTTCAAAATTATGTCGCTTTTTATTTTTCTCGTCTTCTTTCAGTAACTTTTGTAATCAAAACAAGTATTTTGAGACGTCAGACAAGTTGGGCTTCGTCCCAGATCTATTTTATTTTAAATTTTTCCTTCTTCATAATCGAAGTCGTTTTGGGGTGTTTTGACCAAATTCACGAAATTTCGAGAAGAAAAACCGCCTCATATGTTTATGGGGGGACTTCCTCTTGATTTTGAACGCAATATATAACTTGATACTTTGCATTGTTATGCCGAGGGGCGAAAGAAAGTAATGGTGGACATTTAATTTTTGACGAGGGCGGGCCAAATGGTGGACGATTCATTCGTGGGGGGCCGAGTCGTTTTGAATGACCCTAATTTGTCGGGAACGTGTGATAAGCCAACCACTTCTTACACTGTGAGCTTGTGGCCCTGCCGTGCTGTGGAATACAGTTTAGCTTTAGAGCTGCTTGTGATATATCAAACTATTGCGACATTTTTTTTCAGGAAAGAGGGGGTGGGTTTGACTGGTTTAACACGGGATATCGAAATTAATTCAAATTATTCTCGTTGGGATTGTACACAAGGGGTACAAGACTCCAATTTGTTGATCATGTTGATGAATCAGCCGGGTTGGATAACTTAGTAAAATGAGTTTAAAGAAAAAACAATTAGTCTTCAGGGAAACTTTCCTTATTTGTAAGAAGTTGTAGCTCGCGAAGTGAACGAGTGAACAATTTTAAGATCGAGTGTTGCTGTCACTTATTTTTGATGATATAATCCAGAGAAGTAACCAGGGAGTTCTGATTTTCATTAAACTTTATAGTCAATTTCAGGTAATTTCACTTAACCCTAGATTGGTCTGGATAACCGGAAAATTAAAAAAAAATGACTTTTTTAACTGAAGTGTCCAACAACAGAAAATAAATTATTTCCTACAGAAGAATTTTTTTACCATGTTAGGGATATCCAAGTATCTTTAACAGTTTGGTACAGATCACATTATGGATTCAACCATTTTCAATCATCCAATTTGTCAATTAAATAGCGTGAGAAACATTTGAAAAAAAACGCTGAATTTTCAGCGTCAGTCAAATTACATTTTGCACAGAATTATAATTTCTTTTTAAATTCGTTGTTTATAAATAAATAATTGAAATTGTTTCAACTTTCGGCAACCTCATTTTTTTACGCATGAAATCGATTTCTGGTAAAATTTTGAATGTGAATAAATCTGTTACGATTCCGAACAAATGATTTTTATGACGGAAAATTCATTGTCTATTAATTATTTGCAGAAAATGCTCATAATTTTCAAAAATTGTAATAATTAAATTATTTCATCAATGTTCCTCCAAAAGTGCACTTTCGATTTTTTTTCAGATTTTTAAAATGTCTTCTAACGATTCATTGTCAATATTCTAATTCAGACCTGCAAAGTTTAGATAATAAACTCAGTGTAAAATGTCCGGAAACTTAGGGTCGAATGTCGCTCGAATAAAGGACAGCATTTCACTGGAGAAAAAATCGCCAAAGTACTTGGATATGCTTAAAGCCTAAGAACACGGTGGCACATTCCCGCGGAGGTGACCAAATCGCTGGTTCGCGTAGTGTGACCAGACTAGGGTTAAATATCCCAGCATTTTCCAAGTTTCGCGGAATTATCTTGTCATTAAAATTCAATAACTTTACGATCCTAACTTTTCCGGATTTCTTCTCCAGATTTCAGTGCCAAAAAATCTTAATTTAAAAGAAGCCTGAGTTATGAGAGTTACGAGAATCTCATAGAATGAGTCTATGCACTAATTTCGAGAAGTGCTCGTAACTTGAACATGACCATTTCACGATGAAATGATACAGTTTAACTTTAGAGACGCTCGTGATTTATCAAACAATTCGCAATTTTTTTGTTCAAGAAAGAGGAAGTGGGTCACGCCTGTTTGAATACAAGATAAGCCAAATTTTTTTGTCGTGATAGTGCACAAGGTGTACGACAACCCAATTTATTGATGCGGTAGTAGAGAATAATTTTTTTATGTTGAAGAAGTCAATTTGAACGCAGATAATTGGCCATTAAAACATTCTTTGCCTGGAAGATTCCCCCACGTATGGAAAAATTTATCGCTGAGTCGAAGTCCAGAGCTTCCAGGTAACTCTACCATGCTTGATTCCCGGAATAACTTATTGAGTGCTCCTGATAATCGATATGAGAGAATTGAATAGTTAACGATAATGTGATTGGTTTGTCAGCCTTTTAATGCTGAATTAAATTTTTCGGTACATTTCATTTATTTGAGTTCAACAGCGTTAACCAGAACACACAAAAAATGTTTCGTATACATTAAATACCCTTCATTTGGAAATAATTGTCTGTAATAATTCCTCAGCTGGATAAAATGAATCGTTTAATAAAATCAAACAATTAAATTGGAATAAATATGAGTTTACTTGATTCAAGTGACAATATTGCTGAAATGAACAGAAATATAGAAAATATAGTTTTAATTGATTCAAAGATGTTTATCCAATTTTCAAAAATGGAATTTATCCATGTTCAGTATTTCTGATAATTAAGGAAGATTATTTTCAGTAACTGTGATGAAACAAAACACACAAATTTCTTCTCATGCAATATCCAGGGAAATAGAGGAATTGTTTAAAACATTGAGCCCCATAAAATCTCATGCTAACAGTTATATTCCCAGAGATTTTCAGCAACATGTCACTGATTTCCAGGGATATGCCACTGATTCCCATCGCTTTATCTCCAATTATTGGGCATTGGCAATTGTAAAATTCAGTGAATGCAAAACTTTGAAATTCTGTGATTTTATTACCAATTTTAAGTGACATTATCACTAATTTCCACTGAAAAAATCAATAATTTATTGAGTGCTTGGAAATTTGGATAATGATCCTCAACGTCACTTCTTTGTGTGTAATGAGAGTCATAACGTAAGTCGTAAAAATATCTCTGGGACGTCTCGTTACTTCTGCATGTAAAATCCCCATATTTTAAAATGGATTATTATCCCTGAGGAGGATTTTTTTCTCCGATTTTGCTGGAAAATTTCTCGCACCATAAAATCGAAAGACCCATCTCCTAGTATTATTCTGTTATTATTTTTTTCTGTGCTCCTCTGTAGCTATGTCGTTTCTCCTATGGAAATACACGCAGCATTGTAGGTAGAGGGTGATTATTGCTGCTAAAAGCCTTATCAGAAATTCTGCACAAAAGCATGGTTAGTTTCCACAGGAGGACATGTAGAATTTATACCATGCCAGTGTGAATTATCCCCAACGAAAGATTTTAATCGCAATAACTGTGATATTATGAATGCGTACATTGCACGTGAGATACGGTATCAATGCGGATTATTTTATATTTCAAAAACTGATGAATTCCCAGGTATTTGCAACCACACCGATTAATTGTCACTCCCATAAAATCAATTGAAACTGGATAACAACACGAATATTCATGCTCAACATATGAAATACACAATTGAATAATGAATTGAAAAATCTGAATGGAAGAGATCCAACAATAACAAGCGTATTTTCCCCAATGATTAGAGTAGATGTAGACGGTCTATTCTAGAAAACAAAGAGGACGATTGTTGATTCGAGGGAAAATGGAAAACGAAACAACGAAAATGCAACGTGTACAAAAACAAAAAGTAGGGAAAAAAAAGTTCATAAAAGTGGATGAATAAATATCACGGAAATTGTTTGGAGCAATGCCAGAACAGTTGTATCCTGAACCGATCTCGATACATTTAGAGGCCTGAACTCTGTTATTTTTTCTCTCCACCCTCCCCCCTCCCCCGACATTTTTATTTCAACCCCACAAAATACGATATTGTCCGAATCAAATCGGATAAAAGAGAATATCATATCGAATATCAATGGTTATTCGGTTATGTATCGCAGCGACTGCTGGATTAAAGTGGTTCTGTACGGAGGCGCCTCTGCAGTTGAAAGTCGTAGATACCTCGAAGGTACATACGTAAAACGCATAGTATACTCAGTCCGAGAGGGATTTTCAGTGGCAGCCTAGACAGAACCACTGCCCAATTTTTTTTCCAACGCTGCAAAAGA